AGTAAATAGATTTACTAATACGGAAAGAGAAGTAAGGAAATAGCTACTAAGAAACTATATTAGAAAAAGTAAAAAAGACTTAATTATTTATTTCAAATTAAAAGCTATTTATTAAAAAACATTTATTAGAATTTATATAGAGAATCTAGTAAAAGAAATAGGAAAAAACTTATTATTAACTTCTTTAGAAAGTTAGATAGTTCTTTACTTAGTTCTCTAATTCTTTATATTATTAAATACTTATTTATAAAGAACTAGCTATAAAACTACGGTCTATAATTCTATAAGACTAAATCCGGCCATATTTTAATTCATGAAATCTTAAAAAGCTTCAGGTAACCTATTACTAATATAAGAAGTTATAGCCTGGATAGTAGCCTGAGTAACTCTTATATTTATAGCCTATTAAGCTTATATAGTAATATAAGTATTACTAGAAAAGTAATTAAGTTAAGTAATATGGCTTATAGTAAAAGGAAATATAAAAGAAAATAATTATAGGGCTATTAGAGTAGGAGGAGCCTAGAATAAAGCAGAACTAGTACCTGGCGGCTATATAGTAATAATAACTAGAGAAATAGATATAATAGATATTTCTAGAAAAAAAGATATAGGATAAAAATACTAAGAAAAGCTAGGGATTTAAAGTATCCTAGATATAAAGAGAAGAATAGATATAAACGGAATTCCAGAGCTATAAGATTCAAGTTTACTAGTATTACTATTCTAGGTAAGTAAAGCAGTAGCTTTTATATTATATTTATTATTAGTAAATTAATAGAACTTATAATATTAGATATTACTATACTAGTATTTAGCTATAGGGCATATAGTATTAGAGTAAGTTTTGAGAAATAGTAATACTATTTTAAGAAATAAGAATTTAAAGATTTAAAATATTTATATAATAAATAAACTTAATAATTCTATTAGTATTACTCTTAAAAATAAGAAGGAAATTTCGAAAATAATATATTTAATAATAAATAATACTTATTTTAATATATCTAGTTATTTTATAATTAGCTTATTTAACTACCTTATATTATTAGGAGTATTACTAATAAAGGGCTATTTCTAAGTAAAGTTCTAGACTATTAGGAACTATATAGGTATTCTTCTAGCCTATATATTATTTATATATTCTATATTTATTAGAATAACTTATTTAAGGATTTTATTTTATATAATAGTAATATTATATTTACTAGTTAGCTTCTCGAACTCTCCTAATATTAGTAGCTGCCCTAAAGCTATATGTGCCCGGACTATATATTAGAGCTAGTAATAAGCTTAAATATATAATTAGTTACTATTTCTATTAGTATTTCCTATATAAATATTAGCTATATTTATATTATAAGATATAAGCTTCTAATAATATTATTTTAGTATTTCTCTTAATAGAAACTTATTAATATCTATATTAGTATATAAGTAAACTATTTATATAGAACTATATAAGGTTATATTACTTATCCTAAACTAAATAATTATTAAGGATTATATTATAAAGCTTTATATTTATAGGGTAACCCTAGTACTATATCTTGCCTAGGGGCTTTATATATAGTCTAAATAGCTTGCCGGCTACTATATTAGGCCTTGATCTATCTTTTCTAATCCTATAAATATTTTATAAGTTTATAAACCTATATATCTCGTTTTAAATCTATTATATATAAAGTATTAGTAAAGTAATCTAATTCTATAGATATTAGTAATTATAATTCCCGATATAGGCTAGTTCCTAAAAGTAGTTCTATATATACTAATCGGAATTAGTTATATAATCCGGTACTATAATACTAGACCTAATAGCCTTAATAAAAAATAGTATAATTATTAGTATCTAATACTTTTTCCTAATAATAGAAAAAATAAGAAATAGATATAAGGAAACGAAATTACTTATATACTACTAGTATAACTAGCTCTTCTAAAACTCCTATTACTAGAATTTAACTTACTAATTCTTAGTACTTTTCCCAGAAATAAAGTAGTTCTTTATATATATAACTAATAAATTAGCTATCCGCGAGAATATAAAGTATATTTTAGTAATAAGAGAGAGTTTAGAGCCTTAATTAGTCCTAAAGAAATAAAAGTAATAGTTTATTTAAGTATAAATCTAAAGATATTACTATATAACTAAATAAGTAATCTAATTAGAGATTCTAATATATATTCAGATAATATTATATAAATAAGTATTAATATAAGTATATATCTTAATCCCAAATAATAATAGCTTATTATATTTATTAATTAACTAAATCTAGTCTAGCCCAGGTATAATATATCCTTTCTTTTTAAACTATATCTATTATATTTATAATATAATTATCTCGGGATCCAGAAGTTATAATATTATATATAAGCTCTTTTTATAAATAATAAAATATATTAGTAAATAAGGCCCTAACCTTCTAAGCTAGGGCAAAATAGTAAAGTATAAAAAAACTAACCGGGTTACTAGTAAACCTTATTAATAGAAATACATATATAAATACTATTATTTATAACCTATAATTCGCTTATTATTTAGCTTACTTTATAGTATTATAAATAGTTACTTATCTGCCGCTTGCCTATTTATTATAGTTATATAGTAAATAAGATTAAGCTTTTTATATATATAAATAACTCTAGTAATTAAAGCTATATAACTATAATTCTTAAGATCCTTAAGTATTTCCTTATTTATATTTCCCAGATAATATAGAATTATAATCTATATATAAAGAAAAGATATATTTAAATATTCTATTCTTATAATTACTATTAAATTATATATAAATTAACTAAGATTCTATATAAATCTTTTAATCTATTCATAATTTCTTCTTAATTAATATTTATATAAGCCTATTTAGTAATAGCTTTATAATATAATAATAAATTTATTAAAAGTCATAGTATTATTTTAATAAGAATTAAGTTTAGGATATACTTTATTATTATAATATACTTTTTAGTAATATAAATACTAAAAAACTCGAGTAATATTACCCCTATATGATTTTATTAATTAATTACTAAAAAAAAGTAATTAGCCGGCTTCTCAGTTATTTTAATAGTTTAATTTTCTTATTTCTAATCTCGGGAATATTAAGGAAGTTATTAGACCCTATTAATAGCATTATCCTAGAAGGGCTTATAGCCTGTAATTTCCTAACTATAGTAATTTATAATAAATAGCTCAATTTTAATATCTATACTACCGGGCTAATTTCTGGGCACGATTTCACATAGTAGTACTGGGCTCTTACTTACATTAATTAGACAAGCAAAGCAGCGCCTTACATTATTGGCGTTATCCAAGCCGAAAGTCAGGCGTGTGGGTACCTATACCCCCATAATTAGGATTCTGCTGGGGAGGAGGGGGGGGAGGGGTGTGCGGGGCCGGCCAGTGCGAACATGCAGAAAATCAGAAAATCACTTTCGCTTGCTCGGATTTGTCGCGGCTAGCTAGCTGTATTTTTTTTTTTTTTTTTTTTTTTTTTAGAGATTCCGATATATATCTAGATAATATTATATAAATAAGTATTAATATAAGTATATATCTCGATCCCAAATAGTAATAGCTTATTATATCTATTAATTAACCAAATCTAGTCCGGCCCAGATATAATATATTCTTTTTTCTTGGACTATATCCGTTATATTTATAATATAATTATTTCGGGATCCAGGAGTTATAATATTATATATAAGCTTTCCCTATAGATAATAAAATATATTAGTAAATAAGGCCCTAACTTTCCAAGCTAGGGCAAAATAGTAAAGTATAAAAAGACTAACCGGGTTACTAGTAAATCTTATTAACGGAAGTATATATATAAATACCGCCGTTTATAACCTATAACCCGCCTATTATTTAGCTTACTCTATAATATTATAAATAATTACTCGTCTGCCGCTTATCTGTCTATTATAGTTATATGGCAAATAAGACCAAGCTTCTTATATATACGAATAATTCTAGTAATTAAAGCTATATAACCGTAATCCTTAAGATCCTTAAGTATTTCCTTATTTATATCTCCCAAATAATACAGGATTATAATCTATATATAAAAGAAAGGCATATCTACTATTTAAGTATATATTTAGATATTTTATTCTTATAGTTACTATTAGACTATATACGGATTAACTGAGATTTTATATAAATCTTTTAATCTATTTGTAATTTCTTCTTAATTAATATTTATACAAGCCTATTTAGTAATAGCTTTATAATATAGTAATAGATTTATTAAAAGTTATAGTATTATTTTAATAAGGGTTAAGTTCAGGGTACGCTTTACTATTATAATATACTTTTTAGTAATATAAGTACTAAAAAACTCGAGTAATATTATTTCTATATAATTTTATTAATTAATTACTAAAAAAAAGTAATTAGCTAGCTTCTTAGTTATTTTAATAATTTAATTTTCTCATTTCTAATCTCGGGAATATTAAGGAAGTTATTAGATCCTATTAATAGTATTATTCTAGAAGGGCTTATAGCCTGTAGTTACCTGACCATAGTAATTTGTAATAAATACTTAATTTTATATTATACTATCCGGCCTAATTTTGGCACGATTTCATATAATAGTATGGGCTCTTACTTCATTAATTAGACAAGCAAGCAGCCTTACTATTATTGCGTTATCCAAGCCGAAAGTTACGTATGGGTGCTATACCCCTAATTAGGAATTCTGCCTTGGGGAGGGGGGTGTGCGGGGCGCCAGTGCGAAAATCAGAAAATCAGAAAATCACTTTTCGCTTCTCGGATTTGTCCGCTAGCTAGCTGTGGGCCTCAGTATCTTGGGCCTAGACCAGTAAACCAATTCGTATACTGTTCACAGCAGCCGGAAGATCAAAAAGTCGTATCTCCCAAAATGGTTTCCCCCGCATACAAAATGAGATGAGGTCCCCTTGATTATTGTCAGGGATTCTGGAGTATCTTCTCAACTTGGCTTTCATCTCAATCACATTTAAAGCTCCCGCCACGAGGTAAACAGCTTTAGAAGTTCTCATCGATTGTCTTTGAAGCGAATCCATACAGAAGGCACAATGAAGGCAGGTCTCTCCCTGCTGCCGTCCCTGGCAGCTGTCTGCTACAGCGCAGCTTTACCAAAGGACCTTAATGGCAACGTCTTAGAGCGTGATGCAGACGACTCCGCGCTCATAGTTACCGTAAATCCCTCAGCATCAAAGGTCACGGTAAAATCTACAACACACCCGGGAATTTATGTCACAGTAACCAAGACCTTTACCACCAACCCGTAACCAACCTCTTTCTTTGTTCCATGTCCCGAGCTTTCTGTTTCATTGGTTGGGAGACTGAGACTTGCTACCGGATCTCTCCCGGCTCTTATTCTTCCAAAGAAACATCAAGCTAATTCGTTGCAGTGTCGCCACGGTCAAAAAAACTACTTCGAAGAAGGCAACCACCACTAGAAAAGCTTCTGGGCCTACAATCACAGCATATAAGACCCTCACAACTGCCAGGACAACTGTTAAAATAACCGTCAAACCCATCAGCACCTACATCGATGACAATGGAGATGACTCTGGCGACGGCTCTGGCGACGATACCGACGACGACGTCGACACGAGCACGGATGGCGGATCTCGAGATGATTCGTACTTTGGCTTTGGTGGCTGTGACCAGCGCCAAATCTTCGGACTGAATCCTCTCACCACCATAGATTACTACAACCCAGATGACCCTCAGCCAACTTCTTATGGTGGAGACTGGGGAGAATGGTCCGGATGGGGAGAAGCAACGACTACCACCGATGACTGGGGCGACGATATAGTCACTACAACTGTGCATACATCATCTCGTCACCGCCACACCACAATGGCGTATCCCCCGCGCGTGACCTGGTGGAGCAAACCAGATGCCGCCCCACAGTCGGACGACGAATTCGACTTCACGTCGTTTGACACTGAAATTGAGGAGCCAGAAGAAGTAGACATTCTGAAAATCGAGGAAACCGATAACAAGAAATGGAACGCCCTTCTACAAACCAAATTCTCTGTCACGCTCGATATCGATTACCCAATTAAGCCATTCGATGGAGAGTCTTACATCCCAACCGGGGCTCCATCGAGGACAACCGACGGCGGCCCGTTTGGACCATATGGAAGCTGGTACCCGATCGCAACAACTAGCCGCAAGTATCCCTTCGCATCGACCACTTACAAGTCCCCAGTTGCAACGACTACCCGCAGGTACCCAGGCGTCACAGCTACTCGCAAGTACCCTGGCATAACAACTACCTACAGGTACCCCATCGCAACACCTAGTCCCTTGAGGACCCTGATGTCGAAGATCCCGATGTCGAAGATCCGAACGATGACAATAAAACTGTGAACAAGCGCAACACTTCCCACCAAATAACCTACGAAGGCGATGAAAATAGCGAGAGCGATAGCGAGATAGATGTTCCTGAGGCCGAATTCCCTGACGACGAGACCCCTGATTTTGCGGTGGAAACCGACAATAGGAAACGCCAAATAAATTACGATAACTTACGAGGGCGATGACAATAGTGAAGACGATAGCGAGGCTGACGTTCCTGAAGTCGAGGCCCCTGTCGAAGTCCCTGACCACATTGATTATTACGAGGTGGAAACCGATAACAAGAAACGCGTCCCAGTGCCACAAGTCACATGGTGGGATTTCCCCGAAGAAACTGACACCCCAGAGGTCGACGACACCCTCCCCCCCCCCTTCAGACCTTCGATAAACACGCCTTGAAGACTGGTGACTCCGCCTGTGGACAAGCACCAGTTACTGTCACAGTCACGTCTTATGTCGCGAAGCCGGCGGGGTTAGTACATCTAGCGAGGGAGACAGAGGTCTCGATTAGCCGGACAATGATTGTCTGGATTAGTAGGACTATGGTTCAGGCGGGCGTGAGCGTTTTGCTAACGAGCTCGTCCAGTTCGTCGACTTTGACTTTATCGGCTCAGACGACGTTTGCTACAAGTACGAAGGCGAGTAAGTTCTAATTTTGTCACCAGCTGGCTGAGTTATAAAAATGATAATCTTCTAGAAGTTGAGTTGAGGGAGCCCGTTTTGGAGGAGACAGCATGAATTAGAGGTGGGTTGAGAGTGAAAGGTGATATCATTTCGTTGGGTTGTGGCGGGCAGAGCCCGAAATGGGGGTTTACCTAGCATATTCCATTTTGTGGATTAACAATCTCTGTATAGGTAATGTTTGTTGAGGGAGGTAGTGCATGTCACCCAAGGCTGTATCAACAAAAATCGATACCATTTATGCGGGCCATACGATGCAGTTCCATTTATGGTTCCAATTATTTCGCCAAGGAGTGGTGAGATCGGACTTTTCTTTCTGGGACCTTTCCGTCAATGGATCTCGCATTCAATTTTGAGAGGATAGGTCGAGGGAAGCCGACCGTGTCCCGGGCTATTTTCAGGCCATCTTTAAGATGTTGGAAACGTGCCAATTGGGGAATCACGTGACATTTCTTTCCCCCTTCTTTCCGCAGCGGATATATCCTTTGCTGCACTACATTAGACTTAGATCTCTAGACTGAATATCGATTCTCTGATCACTGTTTACAATGTAGTCCAATTGTCAGAACGGTCCCAGCAACCGAAAGATGGGGAAACTCAAGTGGAGCTCGCCCGCGGGAACGGGAAGAAACCAATAATTTGCCCGCTTGTGGCAAACGTAAATCTTCCCTCCCAGTGACCGCCGGTGCTACCATCCCCATGTGCTGCCCTCGACCGCGTCTCCCCTGGACGCCCCCGCCCGGCCCGTGGCGTTCTGGAACATTTAGTCTTTGAATCCTGGCCTGTAAGAAATGATTTACTGACTGGGTCCCCTCCGTGGACCCTGCCACCCGGAAGTGCTTCCCCGCAAGCCATGCTCCAGTTCAAACAACTTTCCCGCACGGGGCCTCAGCGCGCAGGCCGTTCCGAGGCGCTGAAAAACGCTTGTTTCAAATGATAGCCAGCAGATGATAAGAAAGGACACGATGTATTAGGTAACCTCTAGAGCATGCTTAATGTGCCAATATGGGAGACTTGGGCAAAAATTTGGAATATTTTTATATTCTGTACTTTGGTAGACCAGAGCTGGAATTGCGATCGGTGGAGTTGGGGTTTTGGTGGGAAGTGTTTGGTTTGGATTGGGGAAGGCATTTTGGATTTTTGCATGTTTGGATATACTATTAGAACAATCTCTGTAGCTTATACAAACGTATGAAAGATATCATGTTTTGTTTCGAACGGCAAAGCTGTGCTCTCCTGTTGATGTATGGCCCAGTCAAACAAATTCGCTTCTTTCACCAACTTCACTTCATTGCTTTTCATCAACACCCTGACAGCCAATTTCTAAAAGCACAAGGAACGAGGATTTGAGTCTCAACGTTTAATTCCTTTGGCGGAAGAAACTCTATGCATACCAAGGGGCTAAAGTTTCGAATTGTTTGAGGAGAATTCAGCTTATGTTTTTCCGCTGGATGTGGTAGATTGTAACGAGGCCAGATCAATTACCCTTCCGGTGCTAACCTTATGCGTTCCGGCCCAACTCGCTGAGGTATGTATGGCTTTCAATTGTTACCTTTCTCCAGATGATTGGCTCTCCACCGCCCGAGAAGCAAAGCAGGTCCGTGGGGAGGTGGAAGCCAGGGCCCCGGAGCGAAGGCGTTGTGCTAGGCCTAACCAAGGTTGAAGTGCTGCAGGTCTCCAGAGCTCTTGCACTGCAACTACAGGGGATCCGTCCATGAAAAACAGCCCTGTCGCGACAAACCTAGACCCTTCCACAACGCCATTTGAATGCAGCAGCTCATCCTTCTCACGATTTCATAGGCTTTTCTGGCGAAGTGTGATGAATCTGCAGCCAAATCAGCCCATATGCTTGGACGACAGCTTGATTGAGCTCTGATAAGCCAATTCAATGAAGAAGGACGCCTCCCACTCTCCAGGTCTCCCCGAGCTTCTCTCGCTCGCCCCGGGATCCAAACAAATTTGCTTGAATTTTGAGGGCAATTTGGGAAATCGCGACTCGTGAGTCGTGGTGACTGCTGTGCTGCATCTGTGCGACCAAAGCGACTTCTAAACCAAGAACTTCGAGGGTTTGTCTTCATACGTCCTGCCATCTCCCCGGTGTCTGATATCAAGCACCTCGTTATCCGTTTTGTTTTTCAATACCCCTCTTGGTTGCGCAGCCAGACGCGCCCTTCGTTTTCTCTCATCTGCCCAGATCCCTCCCACTGTACTCTTCTGGAGGTCTCAACCCCGTCAACCCCGCTATCATGCCTTCTTTGACTCCGGTGATTCTCCTCCCACTGGTCTTTCTGGTCCTCTATTTCGTGTACCAGTACTTCGGCAGGCTGCGACCTCTCAACGCTATCCCAAACGCTCACTTTACGGCTCCATTCTTCCCGATATGGTTGATATCAATCCGGTACCGCAAGCGCGAGAACCGCACCGTATGGGAGTCGCACAAGCGGCTCGGGCCGGTAATACGCCTTGCCCCAGAGGAAATCAGTGTGTGCACTTTACAGGGGATAAAAACTATATATGGGAACTGGGACAAAGACACGTGGTATGAGGCTTTTATCAACTACGAGTGAGTGTATTTTATGATTGGCTGGAGTTCTTTCTGAGATATTTATGTCCAAAAGATACCGTCGGCATGTGTTACGTTTTGGCCGTAGCCATCCTGCCTCCTCCCCTCTTTATATCGATCGTACAAACTCCTGAATCAGAACCTGCTGACTCCCAGCAAGAATTCCACCTTTGGTGGCCGAAATTCAATCCGCCCCACACTCCGCTCACAAGCGCCGAATGGCAAACATCTATTCGAAATCATTTCTTCAGAACTCCCCAGACGTCTCCAACTTCAATAGGCGCATCCTCACCGAAGGTGTGCTGCCCAAGATCGCCACTTCAGCCACTATTGGCTCTTCTCTTGATGTCCTACGCCTTGGTTATGCCTACGGGATGGATGTGATGTCCGCTTATGAGTTCGGCAGTGCCTACGGAACCAATTTCCTCGGCGATGATGTAGCACTCAGCGGCTTCCTTGCTGCCTTCACAGCCGTGAAGCGCGGTGTTTTCTGGGCTGGGCGCTTGCCAGCTATGACTCGGGCTTTGCAACGCATTGGCATTAACCTCGTCCCACAGGAAGCCATGGACGGCCAGGCTTACATGGAAGAGAAGTGCTGGAAGCTGTGCTCACATCTCCAGACCGCCACGGAAACGAACTCCTTCACCTCTAGCAGCACCAAACCTGTGGTCTACTCGCAACTATATTCAGCTCTAGAAAAGACTCTAGAAAAGACGCCTCTTTCGCCAGCCCGAGGTCCAGATTTTCTCCGCAAGTCCGTGGCTTCAGATATGCTGGATCATATGATCGCAGGCTATGAGTCATCAGGCATTGCACTAGCCTATACGATGTACGAGTTATGCATGCACCCAGAATTCCAAACATCACTCCGGGCAGAGCTGCGGTCTGTGAACCCACCTCTCATGTTCCCTATCAGTACTGGAGACAATGCATTTTCAGCCTCTGTTCCGCCCCCCACACTTCCCAGGGCCTTGGACAGTCTTCCCTTCCTCAATGCAGCTCTGTACGAGACACTGCGTTTGTATCCACCTGGAGCAGCAGGTCAACCTCGAGTTGTTCCTCGTGGAGGAGCAGTGCTGTGTGGGTACCCGCTTCCCGAGGGTATTGTGGCTCATGCTGCAGCCTACTCGGTGCACAGAAATGAAGAGACATTTAAGAGGGCCGAGGAGTGGTTGCCTGAGCGCTGGATGGGCGGGAAGGAGAGGGAGGTGAAAAACTGGTTTTGGGCATTTGGGAGTGGGAGCAGGGGGTGCATTGGGAAGGAATTTGCTCTGCAAGGTGAGCCTTTTATCTTAATGATTTAGTTTACTCCTCCTGGCTCTTCACTCCCCCTTAGTCCTTCCTTTTGTTTTTGTGTTGGAGATATCATCCATTCTGCTATTCGGATCAAAGTTAACCTTGTACAGAAATGCTCGTTTTCCTGGCGGCGGTGTACACGAATTTCAGTACTCACATTGTGGATGCGGAAGGAATCGAGCCTGCGGATGAATTTATTGCCGGACCGAGTGGTGGGAAGCTGATCTTGAGATTCGAGAAGGTCGAATAGAGGACAGACGGAGTAAACCATGCCAACCGGAACGGTTTAGTTTTGTCATATCAAGTACTATATGATAGAACAGCTTTTCCGCCACCTTTTGATATTCCTTTCAGCCTCTCGACTCCTCCGCACTCTTGATTCCCACACTCGGGTCTTGAATGGCTACATTCCAGTGCAGATCCCCTCAGTGCTTATGAGCCTACGGACCAAAGCCCGTGTTTTTAGCGATATATTCAGGTCTGGCAAAACCAAAGTCGCCCAATTCACTTCACAGTTTCTTAACAACTATAGATTGAAACTTTATACCATTCAAGCACACACAACAAAAGAAGCCAGAATGAGTTTAGAAAGCCTTAATAACCAATTATGAATATAAAGGAAAAGCATCCAAAATAGTTATGGGGTTCGTTTCTTAGCGAAATGCCCTAAAAATACCGACTTTAGTTCGAAGGCTCGTTAAGCGAGCCCGAAAAGGGGCTGCGGGGTTGCCACAATACCTGTCAAATATCATTTGGATCTATTGCTTCTTACTTGATTGTGAGCTGTTTGGTGGTACTTTTCAGAGGGAAGTTATTAAATATAGGTCTAGAATGCTGGAGGATATCATTGTTCTGAGGAGGGTGGAGGTTTGTGATGAAGGATGGCATAATTTCATTAAATTCATAACCTGTGCCACGGCGGGGGATTACCCGTCCTTGTCTTCAAAATTTTGAAGTCCCTGTGAACTCTTGATATCATATAGCGTCCTTTGCCAAAATTGCGCTCTCCAACGGCACAAATTGTGGCCCAACATAATCTGCACTCCTCGAAAACCAAAAGATGGCTACGAAAACTGATAAACCCCCAGTGATTAAGCAAGTATAATTCATCGTCGCCGCATCAAATGGTAACGCAAATGGGAAGCAGAAGATCACTATAAAAGCTATGATGTAAAGACACGATATCCCGTTGACAATGAACCCAGTTGCCCCTCTCATCCAGAACCACCCCGGAGCGACGTTGATTCTTCGAGTGAGAAAATGAGGGAGAATGGCTGCTAGATATGAGAGCGATGATAGTACGACGAAGGACCCAATGAATGCGTTGAATGCTGTTTGGCTTCCGACGTAGATACAGCCGAGAAGGGTGCAAATAACTGCACATAGCATAATTGAGTTGAATGGATTTCGTTGTTTTTGATTTACCACGGCAAAGAATCCATGGAAAGGAGTTGCTTTGTCTCGGGCTAGGGTCCAAAATACTCTGCTTGCTGTCAGGTAGCATCCTAAGGTCGCGACGAGAGAGGGGAGGAATGCCAGAATGAGAAGTCCGAGCGAGCCCCCTGCAGACCCAGTCGATTGCCGGTAGATTTCAGCAAGCGGAAAGAGATACGGGTTCTCTAGAACTGTTGTAAGATCGTTGATGCTGTAAAACATGGCGATAAGATAGAAGAAGGCGGTGAAAAATCCGATGATGAACTGTGCCAAGATGGCTTTTGGGATGTTTTTGCTTGGACTTCGAGAAAGGATCAGTTAGTGTGGCGTTTCAGGGAGGTTGGTACATACTGGGGGATCTCTTCTGCCATATGTGTGATGACATCGGGGGTGCCAACAGCAAAAGCTCCGTTTAGCATCCCTAGGCAAAACGCAAACCCGTTGCTCGTATACCCTGTCTGGTTTTGCCATTCACGCCAGACAAATTTCGTTGAAGCATACCCACTCTTATAATGCGGCATTATAGCACACACAAGAATGGTGATAATTACGCCGGCGATGACCAAAAAACCTCCGATGGATTCGATGATAGGAAGTGCTTTGTTGGCATACAACGTGATGAAACAACAGGACCAAATGCAGATAAGATAGGCCACAAACACCTGCCATCTCTGAATCTCAAACCCGTCGTGGAACAGAGCATACATGGACACGCACTGTACAGCGACGATTTGAGCAGTGGCAGTCAGGCCCAGAATCCAGGCCAGAAAGTTCCACCAGCCAGCAAACCAGCCACAAACTCTGCCATACGGACCTGCTGTCACCGAGGCCCAGTGATAGACTACTCGAGGGTTAACTTGGCAAGATGAAACAATGGATTTGGACGCACCTCCTCCAGATGACGGCATTGCCGAAGCAAGCTCTGCAATAGATGCAGCGATGAGCCAGTAAAAGACGGAAGCAGCAACCCTGAACAAATGAGTAGGGTTTCCTGAATATTTACTTGAGAACTTACAGTTCATAGATAACTCCTGGTGGTCCGCCATTGTAAATGGCTACAGTCTATTGTTGCCAGCATCAGATTGTAAGTCATTTCTTCTTTTTGGACCAGTCCGAGATAAACTTACAACACTACCACCAATTGCAATCCATGTGTTCCCGGAAGTGATCCCCAACCCAGCAATATGAATGAAGTGAAAGTTTCGGTCAAGCTCTTGGCGATGACCTGAAGCGTTGATGAGTCCATCGGAATCTGGACCTTGATTTTCAACACCAACCGAATCCGTTGTGTGCTTTTGCTCTGTAACTTTCTCCATATTGGAAGGTGATATTGATATCATAGTAAGACAGGGAGGGCCAGCGGGCGATTTGGAGCTGTGTGACCAAAGCCCATGAAATGAAAATCTTTCCCGAAGTGGTTGGCAGGCTTTCGAATCGAGATAAGGAGTCCGTTTTCTTTTTCGTGGCCGTCGTACGATGCCGAGATCTTTTGAGGACTGGGCTACGCAATAATTTAGAGACTACTGCCTAGCCTCCGACGAGAAAGAAGTATGGAGGCACAAAAAGAAAAGGAATACAATCAGAAGGATTAGATGGTGTCCCAGGGGCCGGGTTAAACCAAGGTTATCTCCCAATCGCTTCCCTTACGAGATAATTTTACGTCCCCTCAATTTAGCGGTCGCCAATCAGCCGCCATGTTGTAAATGCCCAATTGAGTCACTGCTGGATCAGGAACGCAACCTGCATTTCGTGGACCTTGGCAGTTGAGAGTTGCATTATCTGCCGTTCACTCCCGCAAACAGCGTGAAAGGTTATCGGAAGTACATTGCGGAACAGAACGATTTTCTATTCGCTACCCAGGTACGGACGACTTCTTCCCCCACTCTGTGGAACGTTCTTATGGCTTTTGTGGTGTAACCGAATTTAAAAACAACAAGCTTTTAATGGTTCGGGGCGACCCTGCTCGGCTGCTCTTAGCCTGTGCCGCGTGCAAGGATTATTTTTGGAGAGGAGGGGAAATGAGCAGCACAGACCCTGGTAAAAGACTTACCCATTGGGCCTTTGGGAAGAGCGGTCGGCCGTCTGCGTGGGGGAGAAATTGTTCACGAAATGCATTCTCCGAGTTGGGAAGAGAGCTGTTACACGAGCAAGGGCCAAAGGGACGGGTCGTCGGTATCAAATGGACTTCAAGATTTCGATCTTTAGGATTCCTGGACCAATCCGACCAACATATTCATGTCGTATAGATCTGCACAGACAGAGCGGGATATGTTTTGGCTTCCAGCTTGCAAGATTACGCCGGTGAGTATCCGTCAAATGTTATCTGTTTTTTCATGTTCCTATGATTGAATAGATAAGTTGAAGGTCGAGTTGCTTCCAGTCAATTCGATACAATCCATTTTCACCAATGTTGCTGTGCGACATCGCTTGATATCATGATGTCTACATCACAGAGCTTTAACCAAGAGTTTAAGATCGAAACGTGGACTCTGTACGGTGTAGGAATGCTCGCGATCTTCACCCGGCTGTAAGTGCTTCAAGCATACTCTATGTAGTGTTTCTGAAGCCCAATTCTAACTACTTTGAACTTTATAGGGCATCGCAAATTCGAAGGCTGGGGATCAAAAGACTTCGGACAGATGATTGGCTTATCATTACTGTAATACCATGGTATACTCTCCTCGTTGTCTCCGTCAACAGAGTCATAATCGGCGGGGGATCCAACTACATGACACCGGAGGATATCGCGGCATTGACACCGCAGACCAAGGCAGATAGAATAAGTGGGAGTAAATGGGTGTTAGTCTCGGAAGAAGTGATGGTACTTTGTGTTTGGACTTGCAAGATTTGCATGCTGTTGATATACAGACGCTTGACGTGAGTGAACTTTGGTTGATTGATTGATTGAAGCTCTTGCTGGTTTGAAAATGGACGACTGATCATTGCAGAGGAACAGTGAAGGATTGACTCGAGGAAAGATAATCAATGCTGTTTTAATATATGTTGCTGCTGGTTTTGTGGCCTGCCAGATTGCGCTCTTCACAACCTGCAGACCATTCTCGGGATACTGGGCGGTCCCGGCTACCGACGGTGAGTTCAAGTCGAGGGATATTTTGAAATACAAGGCTGATGACGACGTGTAAGATCAATGCTGGTCATACTACAACTTCGAGATAGTTGAAGGAACTTTCAACGTCAGTGCTGACTTGGTTGTCCTCCTTGTTGCCATTCCTCTCCTAATGAAACTCCGAATCCCCATCCAGCAGAAGATTATACTGGTCTGCGTCTTTGGAATGGGTGTTTTTGTCATCGCTGCAGCAATATTGACGAAGGTTTACTCCCTCGTTCCAGATTTGGTATCATACTCGTACCTGAACTGGTACTTCCGCGAAGCTTCTGTCTCGATCTATGTCACGAACCTCCCTGCAATCTGGGCACTGTTTCGCGATATCTTCCCTGCTGTGAAATACTGGGGTTATCCGTCCAGGACGTACAGTGATGGAACTGTCGAGAACCGAAAAACTTGGTTACCTCAATTCGGGACGAATTATAGCGGAGGCCCGGATGTCGAATTTAGAGACGATCTGGAGATGTTTGACCGCTTGGGAATGACGAACTCTATAGAAGGTTTGGATGGGAGGAGCAAAGATCAGGGCTTGGCTCTATCAGTCTCAGAATTGAGCACTTCAGGTCATCTTGCCGTGTATAAGGACGTGCCATTCATTATTGCGGGGAAGAAAGTCTGAAAAGAAAGGCCGAAAAGAAAGGTGCCCAGCTTGGAGCTCATCGAACTTTCTTGAATTGTAAGATCAACTTGTCACCCTTCGGTCCAGCACTATACGCATCCAGCTGCTCGATATCCCCATCATCGATAATTTTCGTCGTATAATTCGTATATATTGCAGCCACAACAATCTTCAGCTCTGATTGACAGATCAGTTGAGACTTTCGAGCAAAAGATAGGTGAAACATGATGGAAATCTCTCTTCCACTCACCAATCACCGCAAGGTTATTTCCAATACACATCCTCCCACCACTTCCGAACGCCCAGAACCACCGCATCATCTCGTCCCTTTCATCTTGAGTAACTTCCAGCCATCGCTCCGGTCTCCACATCTCCGGCTCCTGGAACACTTCCTCATTCCGGTGCAGAGAATACGCTTGCGCACTGACCCGAATACCAGCCGGGATGTTGTTATATCCGCAAATCGAGATGGGAGAGCGTGGCTCACTTGGTGGTGTTATTCGGGGCTGGGAACCTGGGACTGAGGGACGGAGACGAAGTGTTTCCAGAAGGATGGCATCCAGGAGGGGGAGGCTATCGATGGATCGCGGAGACGGCAGTTCGGAAGCGGGATATAAAGAGGACTTCTGGGTCAATATAGAGGAGGGATAGAGTATGGGAGGGGACAGAGAAAGCATTTCTTTTTGGAGGGAGGATTGGAGATCAGGACGCTGGGAAAGCTCGTGCATCAGATAGGCCAGGGTCCAGGAACTCGTCTCTGTGCCTGCTAGTATATGATCCATGAGTTCAGAGGCGACAACTAGTCGAAGTTGAGACTTTGGAAGAGGGGGTGGTGGTGTTTTGTCGTCTGAAGAGTTGAGCTGGCTGAGAAGTTGATCATAAACAACCGGCTTCGTCCAAATGTCATCTTTTTGATCTTTCCGTGACCCTTTCGGGCGAACTTCTGAAGAAGCCTCAACCTTCTGAAGCATTTCAAGACATGGTTGTTTGATTTCGTCCAATGCACAATTGACCTCCGGGGGTTCGAGATTAATACCAAGTTTCGTGAGGAAAGTTGTGAGAAGAGGGAAATTCATTGACCAGAAACCATATCCCTTGGCGATCTTTCGTTTCACGAGCCATCTTTCTCGAGCTTCCGAATCTAGCAAGAAATTTGCACTATTTTGCAGGCCAAAGATAAAGGCGCTAATGAAGTCCATGTAGACGGCAAAGTTATATTCCAGTACATTGAGGAAGCCCCCTTGTACTGCAGCTGTCTCGATGATCGGGAGCAACCGCTCGATGACGATTTCTCGGGACAAATCTCGAATGACTTGGGATGACTGAAGAGCTGATTTGCTGTAGATATTTGAGAACATACGCTTCCTCCCTGCATGGGGTTTTCTCTCTATCATGGAAAACATGTTTGGTACGCTGAAGACTTGTCAGCATGATCTCACAGGTCTATCGGGAGACGGAGCAATCTACCCATAATTAGCAAAAGCGTGGTAGAACGCATCCTTATCAAATCGGTCGCTGTAAATGACTCTGAGCGCATCGGCGGAATTCACGCTGAGCTCTCTTGGGCCTAACCTGACGATTGGACCCAGGCGCCGATGTGCGTCATGAATGGCCTTAGTTTCTCGGCCTAGATATCGTTGCCAGATAATCCAGCCATTTAAGAAGTGACTCGTAAAGTGCGCACTCGGTATCCTAGAGAGGGGGGAGAAGAAAATGGGTCGGATGACAAATATGTATGCCAGGGACAACAGTAACACAGATTCGAAAAGCAACAAGATTGCCATATCTTAAGATAGAAAAGCTTTGGTGGTTGGGTACAGAAGCTCTGGCTAGGATGTTTGTTATGTGAAGGAAGGATACTGTGTGAATCTGGGAGAGAACGATATCGGATGTATTTTCAGTCACGTGACTACAATACCCCCTTTTACCACAACCCGTACAGTGTCAATTTAAGTAACGATTATGAGCCTAGGCACAAAATTTAACCATACACAACGACGAATTTCTTCATAGTACCGTTGCACAATGGACCATTTAGAGTTTCTCAAATGCTTTTCTCTGTACTGCGCTTCCCTCAAATTGCGCTGCAAGGGATCTATGATACATGATCAAAAAACTCCGCTTCGGAGTCAAAGACCTCGTCCCAATGCACAAGCTCTCTCGTGCTCAAAATGAGAAACCAAGTCGCCTCTTCGTATCCTTCCTAAGAACTCCATCAACTCAACAACTGCTTTTGTGCAGCCACATGTCTCCGATGACTGTTCAATTCTGGACTCACGGTACTAGCCACAACGTCAGAAGCCAGGTACTTGAAATTGCTGACAACTCAATTGTGGTGTGTGGAAACTTGGGGTGGGTTACCCAGCACAATGTTAGTAGTCTTTAGGATTTTAGTCTCCTTGATTCTCTTCGCCAGTGTCTCGATGCTCACCAGTACTTCTTCAGGTCGTTATCGTGGCCAAAGACCACTTCATTGAAGCCCCGTCGAGGTACTTCCGTATATTTTAGTATTACAGATTTACTTCTCGTATGAGGGTACGTTAAGTACAGACCAACTTTTGAAAGGTTTGATCTCGTAACGATCGATGATGTCGTAGGGAATCTTGAGCAGGCGTTCGATGGTATTAAACGGTAACTCAGAAATGCTTTCTAGCACCTTCATATTAGCCAAGACAACCCGAATGTACTAATAAATGTGGGCACAGTCAGCTTACCGATAACCTCCAATGGCATAGGCTCCGGAATGGGAATATCCACATCAATTGTCCAAAGCTCTCCTCTCTCATTGACTCGAATAGTAGACACAATTCTCTTAGCCAATGCCTCAAATATCTCATCGCGTCCAAAGACCCAAGCGATAATGAGCCAACCTTCCTGCCCATACACCTTGCTCTCTTGTCTTCCGTTCACTATCCGGTATTTTGTCCCAAGGCGAAATAATCCGAATGCATTGATATTGGTCGATCGAGCCAGCCAACGGAAACAGAATGTCGTAGGAAACTCTTTTTGGTACTGCCTTGAAATTTAATTGTGCGATGTTTTGCAGGATGAGGAGTGCTTCTTCATCGTCTTCACTGCAGTCGATCTCCTTGGCCTCAATGGGAGAATCTCCCTTTGCCCAAGGCGGAATCAAGAATTACTTCCACACAGGACTAGCAAGGGTCAGAGCATGCGAACAAACTTTCCCAACAAAGCGTTCATTGGTGTAAGTGACACGGATGCATATATCTCCAGCCTCGAAGACGAAAGGATTCTGTGGTGTGGCAGCGGCAGGCAGTGTGAGAAATGAATAGATTAGATTAGATTAATGGCTATTAATCTAATCTATTCATGAAATTTTCTCATTAATCATATTCTATTCACGAATTAATTAAGCTAATCATGAATATTCATGAATAACTTGATTAATGTACACGTGATCGCAGCACGTGACAAGCTAGCCTAATTAGGTAAGGATCAGGCTCTAGTGCTGCCTTGCTTCTACGGAGTAGAGAGAAAAGCTCGCTAAGGCAGTGCTAGAGCAAGAACCTTACTTAATTAGGCTAGACTATCACGTGCTGTAGTCACGTGTATATCAATCAAGGTATTCATGAATAATCATGATTAATTATTCTAATCTAATCAAATTACATAAGTATCACGTTAATCAAATTCTATTCACGCTATTCATGAATATTCATGAATTAATCAATTAATCAGATTAATTTTTTCGCACACTGGCGGCAGGGACGTCGAGATTCATGGTTCTTGTTTGACTGTGCGAGACTCGCCCGTAGAATGAAGCTGTTTGGAGATAGTCGGTGGAGTAGAAGGTACGCTTTAAGGAGTACGTAATGAGGATGGGAGTTGGCGGATTAATTGCCGATGCGCTGATTGTTCTTGAAAAAAGAGAAGAAGGAAAATCAAAGACTCGATGATAAGTTTGAAAGAAGATTTGAGAAATTTGTGGATTTATACACCGGTCCTGGTACAACGAGTGACCCCGCGAAGAAGTTCTGGTAAATTTTAGATATCTGTGGATTCACTTTGGAAATTTGGCATATGCATTTTTAAAACGCAGCGAAGAAGAGTAAGGACCGGCAGAGGTAAGTTTGAGCCCTTTTGAGTCTTTTTTGAGACTTCCTCTGAGGCATGTTCTTGCAGTTATGGCTTGAAAAAATAGAGCAAGCGAGGGAGATAGGGGCTGGCACTGTCACGTGCATGACCCCTTAACAGTCAATTTATCTAGCTTCGATTAAGAAAAGTGAATAATCCTCAAGTTTCAAAAATTTACAAAGACGAAGCTTGGGAGATCCAGAAAAGCGGGATGTCAGATGGAGTCATAAACCTTCTCGGAGTTCTTGAATTGCTACCTTTCTTCAACACATGAAGTCGAACCTAGACCTTTCCACACAACTTCAAGGAACAGAATAGAGTTCTCGACATGTCACCCTTCAAGAAGGAGAGCCTCCATATGCTAACTCGCCCTCGAGCCACTCCAGCTCTACCCACCCCACCGACTTTCAACTTCCCAACCGGTGATGTCACAGTCCTCCTCTCCAACGTTTCGGATCCAGATACTACAACACGTGCCCTCGCATCAACCTCCTCCCTTAGTATCGCCAGTCCAGTATGGAAGAAATTCTTGTGCCCGCCCTGGGCCACAGACTCCACCACCCCAGCCACATCTCTGGATTTCACATCCGACCCCCTCTTCGCCATTACCCTCTTACTGCAAGTCGCACACCTCCAATTCCGGAATATTCCCAGCAAGTTACCGTACAGTCAGCTATTGCAAGTAGCCATACTGTGCGACCAGTACTCATGTGCCAGTCTTGTTGCGCCATGGCTCGATTCCTGGTTGTCTGATGAGAAGCCGGCATCAAAGGAAGATGGCAAGGAGGGGTGGTTGTTTATCGCTTGGGCTTTTGGTCGAGAATCCGTATTTGAAGAACTTGCAAAGAAGCTGGTGTTCGAGGTGAAGATCGGTAAAAACGGGAAATGCTTAACAAAGAATGGAGAGGTCATGCCAGAGCCGATGCCAAACGAAATCTTGGGTATGCCCTTCTTCCTTCCTCTGTCCATTTCTTGAGAAAGTCATCAAAGAGAATTAAAATCCAATGGCTAATTGATGAACACAGAAAGTGTACTTAAGATTCGAGCAGAAATAATCGAACAGCTCTTTCGCATTCCCTTCACCTGGCTCACGAACTTCGAGCAAAGCACTAAGCCCCTCTGTCTGCGAAACTACGACAAGGAAGCCTGTGATGCCATGATCTATGGATCCGTTGCTCGAGGAATCCAAAAAGCCTCGTTGTGGCCTCTTACTACTTCAAGAAACATCACGTTGAGCATCGAGGAGCTGGCGAATGTGCTAAAGGGAATCAAAATCCAAATTCTACAGGAGCCGAGAGGAAAGAGCGTGGAGTGGAGCCATATCAACTGCAAGACTATTAATATGCACTTTGGTGTTGCGAAAATTTTGGACTCAGTTGGTAATCCTGTGTTGGACTGCCATAGGTTGCACATGAGAGAACAGAGAGGAGAGGTTAAGGATAAGTAAAGACCAAGCCGGGGAGAAGCATACGATTATGGCCGAATTTATCATGCAAGGATAATTTCTTTGGAATCTTGAGATCAGTGTTAATGAATGCAATTACTTAGCACTAAAGTAACGGGGACAGAATAGTAATTAAATGATGGCCTTTGCGAACAGGTTGTCCATATAGAGCTGAGGATTGCTCCGGCACTTACTTCACGCCGAACATCTCAAGTGGTTACTCCTTCCCCAAATTCAAATTCCTTCTCCGTTATTGCATTCATTCCACGCAATCTTTGTTGATGCTTAATGGCACTCATGAAGCTCTTTCTAAATAGCAATTGTCAGCTATTCAGATAGTTTTGAGGTGCTCTGGTGGGCAGAGCTGCAATAAATTGAAAGGCCATATCCGATCACCTGATTTATGCTAAACAATGAAATACAATACAGTCTCGGGGAGCATTTAAATTTATTGGTATATGCGCAAAACCAGCAATCTCACGCCGTGGAGAGTTTCTTCTCATCTTTAATTGTTCTCACACTCGTACCCTCCGCCAGCTTTGTTTCAAGAATATTGATCCCGGGAACGTCAAAGAGACCCCCCCTCCCCCTCCCATACATGTGACTACTGATAAGAGATGAGTAATAGGAAATTGTGCTACGTGTTCTGCTATGGTGACCACTTCTCAGAACCCCCTCTTCCACGTGATTAGGTAAGGCATAATTTTGACCTCCCTAGCAGTTGCCCTTTTCATAGAACTATAAAGTTTAATCAGCATGGCACAACGTTATTAAAGGGCAACTAACAAAGCTTAGGAGAGAGGAATCCTTTCGTTCATTTTGCCTGCGATGTTGAATTTTCGAAATTGCATCTCAACCTCAAAACCACCAACTCATCCGATGAACTGAGAATGAGGATGCTGCATTGCTACACTGAGCCACAAATCAGGAGACATTACAACTTCTGAAAACAAAAGCTGATCTCCCATCACTGGATTTTGAGACGACCAATCAGAGAGGAGTTTTTCTGCAGCTAAGACGCATAGCGCAAATAGATGCTGAAGTTGCTTTCAGCTGCCACCTGAGCCGTCACAAGCCACCCGTTTGAGAAGAAACCAGTAAACTGCTCGGTTTCTTCCAACCATATGCCCGTGAGCCGGTTGCCTTTAGTTGAAATCGGAGATACCAAGATGCGAGAAAGCTTTCCAACCGGTCCTCTTTGCACTCGCAAGTCACTTGCAGACCAATTCCGTGAACTTGGAGTGAACCATGGCGACACACTCCTCCTCCATTCTTCACTCAGGTCACTTGGTTGGGTAAACGGCGGCGCAGAGGCCGTAGTCCTTGCGCTCTTGGACGTGCTAGGTGACACAGGCACGCTGGTGGTTCCCACCCAGTCCTCAGACAATTCGGATCCGGCGAATTGGCAGCATCCTCCAGTGCCAGAAGCATGGAAGCCAATCATCCGCGAGACTATGTTGCCGTACGATCCTCGCACTACTCCTACACGCTTGATGGGCGTGATCGCTGAGACCGTTCGGACGTGGCCTAGTGCTGTGCGGAGTGCGCATCCTCAGACATCATTTTCAGCTGTTGGGCCCCATGCGGAATCACTCATGGCTGGTCATGCACTTGATTGTGCTTTTGGGGAGCAGAGCCCCTTGGCAAAGCTTGAGCGTGCACATGCTCGTGTGTTGCTTCTTGGTGTGGGATTTGAGAGTTGCACACCTTTTCATCTCGCGGAGTATAGGATACCGGGAGGGATGACGGAGAATTCATTTGCTATAATGACGGATGAGGGGCGTCAATGGATGACTGTCCGTGATACTGCACTTTCGGAGGAGCGATTTGATGAGTTGGGCGCGGATTTTGAAAAGGAGAGGACGATAGTTCGTGGGAAGGTTGGGGGAGCGGGTTCACGCCTCTTCCAGCTGGGCGATGCGGTCCAGTTTGCGCAGAGGTGGCTCTTATTGAAACGCCCATATGTTCCTTGACAAATTTGTATGAATCGACTTCGTATTCAGCCTGGAAGCATGAACCCTAGTTTTCCGTTTTGATTTGATACCATGTCTTTGAGATGGCTGGTGCCGCGACACTCGCAGTTTAGTTTTGAAAGCATTAGTTTGAGGCCGACTTGGCCTATATATTAGCAATCAAGGAAAGCGATTAAGAAGAGAATCGTGACCATGCAACTTGGGCGAGTTTCGTGGAGCTCTGAGGATTGAGATGGGACAATGGTGGCGAGGGACACGCGAATGTACTGGGCCGCGGAGGAGAATGATACAAATGAACGAATTTGGTACGGATATTAAGGGGGCATTCTCCCGTTCGGCCGAAGATTTGATCGTGTCTGTACGGAATAGATATGAAGAGAGACGGGTGAGGCTGGGTGGCGATTTGATTTGGACTAAACAGGTTTAGCGCTAAAATCGCGAGGCTTAACACAGCATCTTCAAAAAAGCTGCGTCAACTATCATCCGCAGCAACGTCGCCATGGACGACCTCGAATCCCTCGAATTGCTCTCTCTGGTCTCTAAGGTGACCTCGGAGTTGCAGAACCATCTCGGAATCAGCGATAAGACCCTCGCCGAGTTCGTCATCGCCCAGCATGCAGAATGCAAATCCCTGGACGAGTTCCAGCAGAAGCTGGAGGCGATGGGCGCTGAGTTCCCCCAGAGTCTGATCGAGAGTATCGACCGCCTGGTCAAGACTATGCACCCGAAGTACAAAAAGGGGAAGGCTGCGAATGGCGAGACAGGGAACGGATCGCAAAGGGCGGAGGAGAAGTCTAAGGTTTTCAAGGGCCTGGCGCTGCCGGACAAGGAGTTACCGTGGCAGGATTATGTGGATGCGCAGGCAGACGGAGCGGCGAATAGAGGGACGGATGCTATTGATGATACACTTGCGCTGTTGGAAGGGCTTGAGAGTAAGGCGAGGGCGGAGAAGCCTGCGAGGACGAGTCGAAAACGAAGTCGAAGCCCTGATGAGGATTACGATAGAGGTCGGAGTCGAAAAGAGAAATACAAGTCACGGTCACGGTCAGTGGAGGATAGGAGGCGAAGGAAGAACGGCTACGAGGACGAGGATGATTATGGACGATCCAGAAATGGTTACAAAAGCGGCAGACGGAGACGAGACGAAGACGACCAATTTAGACGGCCCCCAACGCCCGAGATTGATGATGAGCCTATTATTTTCAAGGTGTACGATGGTCATATTACGGGAGTGAAAGATTTTGGAGCGTTCGTGAATATACATGGGGTCAAAGGGAAGGTGGATGGCCTTGTCCATGTATCAGCCTTGGTGGAGGGTCAACGGGTAAACCACCCTTCAGATCTGGTATCGAGAGGACAGCCGGTGAAGATCAAGGTCGTCAAGATTGAAGGCTCTAGGATCGGGCTTTCCATGAAAGATGTTGATCAGGAAACTGGCAGAGATATGGCTCCACAAGCCAGGATCCAATCAGGCGCCAATATGGAGAGGCTAGGGGGAACGAAGAACGAGTACGGCCTGATAGACGATAAAGTGTTGGTATTTGAAGGGGACATGACAAACAACTCTCGGAAGGTGAAGAAGAGAATGACGTCTCCAGAGCGATGGGAGATTCGGCAGCTTATTGCTTCTGGGGTTGTGAAGGCTTCAGACTACCCAGATCTAGATGAAGAGTACAACGCCACATTGAATGGCGAGGGAGAAATGGAGTTGGAAGAAGATGTTGATATTGAGCTGCGAGAAGAGGAGCCACCTTTCCTTGCTGGACAGACGAAACAGTCTCTCGAGCTTTCTCCTATCCGAGTGGTCAAGGCTCCGGATGGTTCCATGAATCGAGCTGCTATGGCTGGGACTACACTTGCGAAAGACCGAAGAGAATTAAGACAACAGGAGGCACAGGATAAAGCTGCTGAAGAAAGTTCAAAGGTTGATCTATCGGCGCAGTGGAATGATCCTATGGCAGCACCGGATGAGAGGAAATTTGCCAGTGATCTACGAAGCGCCAAACCCCTCCCAGCACTGGAAGATGTGCCCGAGTGGAAGAAAGCAACACAGAATAAGGAACAATCTTTTGGACGAAGAACAGATATGACGATCAAGCAACAGCGAGAATCGTTGCCTGTCTACAGATTCAGATCAGAACTAATCAAGGCTGTACATGCCAATCAATTGTTGATCGTAGTTGGAGACACTGGCTCGGGAAAGACGACGCAGCTGACTCAATATCTGGCTGAAGCAGGTTTTGCCAACAATGGCATGATTGGATGTACCCAACCTCGTCGTGTTGCTGCTATGTCGGTAGCAAAACGTGTTGCAGAGGAGGTGGGTTGTCAGCTCGGTCAAGAGGTTGGATATGCCATTCGATTTGAAGACTGCACCAGTTCAGCGACCAAGATCAAATACATGACCGACGGCATGTTGGAACGCGAGGTTCTCATGGATCCTGAGTTGAAGAGATATTCAGTCATCATGTTGGACGAGGCTCACGAACGTACGATTTCGACCGATGTCCTCTTCGCACTGCTGAAAAAGACCTTGAAGCGTCGACCGGACTTGAAAGTCATCGTTACATCCGCTACTCTTGATGCCGACAAATTTTCTGCGTACTTCAACGAATGTCCCATCTTCTCAATTCCCGGAAGAACTTTTCCGGTCGAGATCATGTACTCTCGTGAACCCGAGTCCGATTATCTGGATGCAGCTCTCGTTACCGTGATGCAGATTCATCTTACGGAACCCCCTGGAGATATTCTTCTCTTCTTGACTGGCCAGGAAGAAATTGATACCAGTTGTGAGATCTTGTTCGAGCGTATGAAAGCGCTCGGACCAAGTGTCCCCGAGCTCATCATTCTCCCTGTGTATTCAGCATTACCCAGTGAGATGCAGAGTAAGATCTTCGACCCAGCGCCTCCTGGAAGCAGAAAAGTCGTTATTGCCACCAACATTGCAGAAACATCCATCACGATCGACCACATCTACTATGTCATCGACCCTGGCTTCGTCAAGCAGAACGCATACGATCCGAAGCTTGGAATGGACTCTCTTGTTGTGACACCTATTTCCCAAGCTCAAGCAAAGCAAAGAGCTGGCCGTGCTGGGAGAACTGGTCCGGGAAAGTGTTTCCGTCTTTACACCGAAGCTGCATTCCAATCCGAAATGCTGCCTACCTCAATTCCAGAAATCCAGAGGCAAAATCTCTCTCACACGATTCTCATGCTCAAAGCCATGGGAATCAACGACTTATTACACTTCGACTTTATGGACCCTCCACCCACAAACACGATGTTAACAGCCCTCGAAGAACTCTACGCCCTATCAGCTCTAGACGACGAAGGACTCCTCACCCGCCTCGGCCGCAAAATGGCTGATTTCCCTATGGACCCCTCCCTAGCCAAAGTCCTTATTGCAGCCGTCGACATCGGCTGCTCGGAGGAAATCCTCAGCATCGTCGCCATGCTCTCCATGCCGCCCCCCTTCTACCGCCCAAAAGAAAAGCAGACGCAAGCCGACCAGAAGAAAGCCAAGTTCCACGACCCGCATGGAGACCATTTGACTCTCTTGAATGTCTACAACTCCTGGAAGCAGAATAAATATGCGAACCCTTGGTGCTTTGAGAATTTTATCCAAGCTCGAAGCATGCGCAGAGCAAAGGATGTCCGTGATCAGTTGGTGAAGATTATGGAGCGGTACAAACACCCCGTCGTCTCTTGTGGTCGCAACACGCAAAAAGTCCGACAAGCATTATGCAGCGGCTTTTTCCGCAACTCCGCGCGCAAGGACCCACAAGAAGGGTACAAAACGCTCATCGAGGGCACACCCGTGTACCTGCACCCCTCTTCCGCGCTGTTTGGCAAGCAGGCGGAATGGGTGATTTACCATACGCTGGTGTTGACGAGTAAAGAGTATATGCATCAAACGACGGCGATCGAGCCGAAATGGCTTGTGGAGGCGGCGCCGAGCTTCTTTAAGGTTGCGCCGACGGATAAGCTGAGTAAGAGGAAGAAGGCAGAGAGGATACAGCCGCTTTATAACAAGTTTGCTGCGGAGGATGATTGGAGGTTGAGTGCGCAGAAGAGGCAGGGACGGGGAGGGGGTGGGGGGACTTGGGGTTAGATGTTTGTATTTGTGTATAGACTGGAAATGGTATTGTATAGACCAATCTTCTTCTCCAGCCTGTTCTACGTCTGTATTATGTGTTTCGCTCTTCGCAACTGGCTAACCTTCAGCAATGCTTCAGTGGTGGTTCTTCTCGACAAAAATAACTGACAATAACACGTGATGTATGTCGAAAAAGTCATATGGAGCGTCGATCCCGAGCAAACGGCGGCCGCACCATCGTCATTCTGAATCTCTTGGCGGCGTTCTTCCCTGTCATCTCAAGGATCGGCCCCTGTGTTGACGGCACTCGCGCCAGTGTGGCTTCGGCAATGCCCCATATTTCGAGCCTCACTTTTCACGACCTCACTCCATCCTTACTCCATCCTCACTTCACTTGCACTTCGCTCCCACGCCATTGTCCCGAACACACCCACAACGCGGTCCGCTATCAGATAATTGGCTCTAACTGGATCTAAAGATGGGTTTGAGTCGGTCATAAGCTAGGTTTGAGGAGGCTTGCGGGTTTGACAAGGCTGAGATGGGTATTTTACGACAACATGAAAAGATGGGATGAGACAATCATCTTTCGAGGCTTCTCTCATCTTCACTCAAGCTGCTAAAGCATATCAATCTCTTGATATATCTCGAGAAATCGATAAGTTTCTTAGCTTAGCTCATCTACCAACGTACCAGGGACCCAACATATGTCGGTGGTACCACGGAGGCGTTTTCCTGGGACCCGGTTTCTCACTGACAGCTCGACGTGGCCGCATCGCCAGACTTCACAATTTGGCCCCATGCCACAATCAGGAATAATACGAAATTCTGTGTGCCGAATTGCGAACCGTCTCCTTTCTGATCATGTGCAGTTCGGGGAGAGTGGGTCCTGCAGCCCTAGAAATCCCAAAATGGAAAGAACGACCTCGCTCCTTCCTGCTTCAAGACTGGCCCAGCTGGCCACGGTCAAATGGCCTTCGCGGTGAATTCTTGTATAAGTCTCCGCGCTCGCACCACCCTTTTCTCTCCCTTCTTCGCTCTCATTTCTCCATCAATCAAACTCTTCATCTCGACTCCAACACCGCAATACCGCAACACCACCCTTTGACAGTCAGATAACCGCAAGTTCAAGAACGCAACTCCGCCATGGGTTTCTTGTCCAAGACGGAGGTCGCTCCTGCTGCCGTCGCGAAAGGCAGCGCAGCAAGCACGCCCTCCGACCAAACCCCCCTCTCCAACACGCCCGCGTCGCAGTCCATCGCATCTGGTATCCACGGGCACGCTGCCCCCGTCCCCCTTACTGCTGGTAATGAGCCAATGCTCACCTTCCTCGCTGTCCTGCTCGGCGCGATCGCGTCCATGGGTGGCTTCATCTTTGGCTACGAGTCTGGTCAAATCTCCGGTATGTCCCTCTCCACCATCACCCGCTCGCGATGCTTGCAGGTGCTAACAGGTGAATAGGTTTCCTCGCCATGGCCGACTTCCTCGCGCGCTTCGGCGAGAACGGCCAGTTCAGTGCTGCGCGCCAAGGAACAATCGTGGGCTTGCTCTGCATCGGTACGCTCGTTGGCTGTCTTGCCTCTGGATGGATCTGCGATCGCCTTGGCCGCAAGTGGACCATCTCTTCCGCGGCGTTCTTCTATATCATTGGTGTTGTTATTGAGGTTTCGTCCGAGAAGCAATGGGTGCAGTTTGCGATGGGACGATTCACCGCTGGGATGGGTATTGGTGCGCTGAGCACGAGTGTGCCGATGTATCAGAGTGAGAGTGTACCGAAGAATATTCGAGGTGCGACGGTTGCTTCGTATCAGCTGATGATAACGCTTGGTATTTGGACTGCTTATATGGTGAGTTACTTAACTTCCCTGATACAGCTGGATGCTAACAACTTACAGATCAACTGGCACACTGAAGCTGCTTTCGGCAACTCTGCCCAATGGAGAATCCCCAATGCTCTTTCCATGCTGTGGGCTCTCATCCTAGGCGGTTCCATCCTGTTCATGCCGGAATCTCCACGATTCGCCTACCGCATGGGCCGGGTGGAGGAAGCACGGAACACATTGGCTAGGTTGAACGGTGTCGATCCCTACTCCAAGCTGATTGACGACGAGGTCAAGGAAATCGATGATAAGTTGAAGGCAGACAACGCTCAGGGCGTTGCCCCATGGTATGAGATCTTCACCGGACCAAGCATGCTCTACCGTACCCTTCTCGGCATGATCCTCCAAGCTGGTCAGCAGCTCACTGGCGCCAACTTCTTCTTTTACTACGGCACAACTGTCTTCAAGTCCACTGGTATTGAGAACTCCTACATCACCTCCATAATTCTCGGTTCTGTCAACGTGGGAGCTACCATTGGTGGTCTCTGGATAGTCAAGAACTGTGGTCGCCGCAAGGCTTTGATGGCTGGCGCTGCATGGATGTTCATGTGCTTCATGATCTACGCTTTCGTCGGCTCCTTCGTTCTCGACGCCAATAACCCCATGGCTACCCCCACCGCTGGTAAAGTCTTGATTGTCTTCACCTGTCTCTTCATCGTAGCCTTCGCCACAACCTGGGGCCCTCTCGTCTGGGCTGTCGTCGGAGAAATGTACCCGTCCCGCTACCGTGCTCCTGCCATGGCTGTTGCCACTGCCTCGAACTGGCTCTTCAACTTCCTGATCTCCTTCTTCACAACCTTCATCACGAACGCGATCCACTACTTCTACGGTCTCGTCTTCGGCGGCTGCTGCTTGGCGCTGTTCTTCATTGTTTATTTCTTCATGATGGAGACCAAGGACCGCAGCTTGGAGGAGATCGATACTATGTATACTTCTGGCGTTAACCCACGGAAGAGCGCTGGCTGGAAGCCCAGTGTCTTGCCTGCTGATGTTAAGGTGGCTGAGAATAAGGAGACTGTCCCGGCTCGTTTGATGGCCCACGATGAGCGAGCCTTCCCTGAGAATCCGAACTCGAAGCCGGCGATGGCTCAGAACCCGACTCAGGCCGTTTAATTATGGTTGGGAAAGTAAGTTGTGTAGGCATGTATTGGGAGGTGTGCCAAGAAGATAAAAGTTGCTTGCAAATGGATGGTGTATAAAATCTGAGGGAGTTTGTTGTTGCATGCACGTGGCTGCATGGCTGATTGGCGTTGAGATACTTGAAAGGTGATGGTTGCGTTGGTGGAGTTTATTGTCCATCGCTGGTGTAAAGCAGCTGTTACGAGGACTGGTAAACTCTTGCTTTTCTGCGTTGTACAATACAATACTGCAGTACGCTTTTGTTCGTAGAGAATAGATGCCACAAAATCTCAATACTCTTGCCCAAAAGTGCCTTCGAAGTCGACGGGAGGATGTGGTTCTCAATCACGTGACTCTTGATTTACCTCCTTGTGGAAGGCGCCAATGATCCTCCTCTCCTCTTTCTCCTTTCTCTTCATTCTTCCACTTCGTTTATCTTCACTCATAATCCCGCGAACAGACCTCCAAGAGACTCGTCCACCTCTCCACGCAACAATATTCGCGAGGAATGACCAGGTACCACCTTGCAGAGAGGACGAGGACCTGTACGACTCCAAATCCGCACCCGCTCCGTGACTCGTGTCTGATACCCGCTCCTCGATCGATCGGCCTTCCATCACTTTGTCCGATGTTCGAGGTTGCTCGGAACGGAATGAGCTGCGATTTTCTGGGTTTGTGTCCAAGATTCATTCACGCAGACTTCGGTCCTCTCGAACTGCAATCGCGTCTTGCGAAGACATCAGCATTTCGACTTCGATGCTCGAGGCGTTGGCCTGAACAACATGGAGCAGTATTTTGCTGGCTCTCCGGCGGCGTCGCGGGGCGATCCAATCATCGGAACAGACAGAATGCGAGTGTTTTGGTCGAGCCTTGCCAGGCAGCACAACCTGTCAACTTGCATGATTACGTCCCTGTCGCTCCTGCCAGCCAATGCGGAGCCTCCACATCAGAGCCTTGCAGCTCTCCAGATCTATCCAGTGAAGCAGCCATGCAACCACTAGAACCATTGGACAGCTGACTAATAAGGTTACGCCTGCCTGCCAGGATCGAGTCGATGCATCCGTGTTGCCTTTCAACATCCGTCAACACGCCCAGAATTCTGAAGGCCTACGATACACGTCGCATCTCCCGAAATGCTCTGCGATGTTTGTAAGTCCATTAACGTCTTTGCCGAGGAGGCATGGGGTCCCCATCATGCAAACCTCCGCGCCGTTTACCAAGCCGCCGAACAAGGCTGTGAACTGTGTCGAGAACTCCGTGTCGAGAACTCCGTGTCGAGAAAGAACGTGAACTCCCTTTATTAAACATGGACCCTCGGATTACCTACAAGATTTATTCTGAGTACCCCTGTGCCATTAAATCCGTTCATTTCTTCACCGAAAATCTAATGCAACTCGGCGGCTATTTTGCAGAATTCGAGATATATGTTGAGCACGACTGCGCTCCAGAGCTGGCAGAACTGGTCGAAGGCAGGCCGAGCTTCGCAACGCCATACTCGGATGGTTGTTTTGCCCTGATAAACACATGGATGAGAGAATGTGCCGAAAGTCATGAGAGTTACTGCCCTTGTGAAACCGAGGCACCTTTACCCACTAGGGTTCTGGATATCAGGATAGGAGGAGGCGATAGTCCAATTTTTTTGAAAGTCGCAAATCCAAGGGAGGTTGGTGCCTATGTTACACTCAGCCATTGTGTAAGTATACTTTTTTCAATCTCACTGGTATTGTTCGTTGCCTGTCGCCTGAGGAATATGGACCTAATCAAATGTCTACGGCACAGTGGGGACCGAAACCGCACTTTCGCACGACACTCTCCAATATCGCAGATTTCGAGCAGTCGATCTCACTAGAAGACCTTCCAAGAACTTTTCAAGACGCTATCCTTGTCGCTAGGAGACTCGGATTTCGGTTTCTTTGGATAGACTCCTTGTGTATTATCCAAGATAGCCATGAAGATTGGGTCCAGGAAGCAGCTTCAATGCACCTCTATTATAAGAGATCAGCTTTGACCATTGCTGTCGATTGTGCTAGCGGAGACCATGAAGGATTTCTTCATTTAGAAAGGAAAAATGATCCCCCACTCGCTATTTTACCCTCGGTAGGCTTGCCTTTTGAACGGGTCTCTGGCACCCGTCTTGGTTCAACACAGAGTCTACCAGTGGTATAAAGTCCAATCAGTAACATCTTGTTGAGGCATCGTAGGATGAAGGACGAAGATCACTTGTCAAAACATGGCTGGACACTGCAAGAGACTCTTCTGTCTCCACGCACAATCCATTATTCGGCAACAGAACTGAAATGGAACTGTCAAAAGAGGAGTTGCTTTGAAATAAAGCCCAATGAGGATCCGGACAATCCCCATAGGGAGCAAGGGTTTCTCATCCTATCCAATTTTCTATCGATTGATAAGAAAAACTTGGAAACAGGTTATCGTAATGCCTTCCAACGGTGGTACAATATCCTAGATGACTACGCCTTTCGTGCTCTTTCGGTCTCATCGGACAAACTCCCAGCAATATCGGGCCTGGCTCATGAGTTCTCCAACCAGATACATTCCACTTATAAAGCAGGCATCTGGCTTGAGGATATTCATTGCGGGCTTATTTGGAGCTACTCCGAACATGGTATCAAACCAGATTCATATCGAGCACCTTCCTGGAGCTGGGCTGCTATGGATTGCTTTCGGACTGGGAAATCCGATTCTCCGAACAAGCTCTATTTTTGGCTCAGTTCTCGTCTAGATAAGCATTCTATAATTGCCAAGGCTGAAGTGCTGGATATCGAGGTAATATTGAAAGATAACGACCCCTACGGTGCTGTCATTGGGGGCGAGCTCACTCTCAGGACCTTCTGGGTCAACTGGCCGTGGAAGCGAATGCGGGGATCGGATACGATGCGGACCCTGCAACCTATTGTTGCCAAAAGAATCTACACCAAATACCTAGTATACCGGGACCTGGATTGCAACTTCGATGAGGTGGCAAAGAAGGAGCCCACTTATTCCAATCCTGACTATTATCTCGATGTCAGCCTTGTTCAGGTTATGCGGGACAGGTCTAGCCACTTCGCGCTTTTACTGAAGCCTGCGAAAGGCGAAGGAAACGAGGGGAAATTTGTCAGGGTTGGAGTTGCTCAATTGCCATGTGAACGAAAAGAGTCTGGACTTGAGCTGACAGAGACTGAATTTGGGCTGACAGGGACTGGACTTGAGCAAGCAGGTTGGGTGAAACGAGATGTGACAATCATCTAGACCATCTTGTGGCAGCCAAGAACAGCGGCGCGGGGGTTTCAACTTCAATTTCTCAAGTGAAGCTAGATCATCTCTGCCACCCTTACCGATAAATGCTCTTCCAGCTAAAGTATATCAAACATGCCTCTTCCTCTGCCTATGAGATCCTGAATCTCAAAGATTAAAGCCTTGTCTGTGCTCTAGTCCAGATATACGTGAGATCTCGAATCGAGACATTGATAAATTTCGTCCATCGCCAGGCAATCGGAATTGGATGCTCGGCTGCCATACTTTTCTTCTTCTTCTTCAAAACAGCGGTCGTCACATCAATAGAGAGGACTATAAAATGACCACCCACAGTTGGTATCATACAATCGTTGTCTCACTCCGTGAGCAACACAGCCCAAGGTTTCTCTTCATGCTGGTTCCTGGACCATAATTCCACGAGACCTTGCTCTCGACCTTGAAGTGCAGCCTGACGAACTTCTCAACTCGGCTCAAGCAGCTGCTAGTCTGGGCATCTCGCTGGAAGAACTGGTACTGTGAAGATTGCTATCGGGCATCGCTGAAGGTGGATAAAGACGAGGAGCACAGAAGAGGTTGGCATCGCCCTGCCACAGCTCGACAGATATCTCTATTACTCGTGGGAGACTGGCGTCTCCGCCTAGCTACACCCGAAAATCTCGTGGTATGAACTTCCTCGCTACCATTAAATATCGGTAACTGAAGTAACACGGCTAAGCTTCGCTCTCAGAACACTTAGACTGTATGCTCTCATACTCTCAAAATCTTTTCAAACTTCTTAAACTAACCTATCTCTTTTGAACATCATTCTCCAAGACCTCAACCCGAGTCTCCCTCCATCTCCACCGACAACATCGCCGCCAGACCCGCTGCACACGAAGTCCCAGACGCAACAGCTATCGTAACACTCTTCATCTGCATTCCGCGATCGCCTACCGCATACACGCCCTTCACATTCGTCTCGTAGAATGGAGATGTGGTCGCTATACTGCCTCTTGCTGTGGCCTCAAGCCCAAGTCGCTCTGCCCACTCTCAATTGACTTTATATTTCGGATTGTGGACCAGAAAGGAGGTCTTGTTGCACATCTCGACAGAGCGTGACAGAGGCCGAAAATGGGCCGCCTGTCTTTCTGGGAGACAGCCATATTTGGGAAATGAGCTCGGAGATTGAACGCTTGCCACATAGAACTAGATGCTTGATTACTCGTAACTAAGTGAAGTGAAATGTACTCGAGTAGGGACGCCGAATGGCTGAGTAATCCAGTTGAGGGTTGGCATTGCTCTACGCTGCAGTCTTATTGGGCGAGACTCTTTCTCAACCTGGGATGATCGTAACGTCCAATCGCAGCTAGGAGAGAAAGAGCTTACTCAGGTTTGGAAAGTTTGTCCATGCAATCACAATTGTTTTGCAGGAGAAACGGAATCCTCAGAAGACCATCGACTCAAGTGACTGACCTTGTACATGGCTGCAGACAATCTTCCCTCCATCGTCAGATCCGGGGTGCAAGCCCTCGCAGAAAGGTTTTATTGCACATCGCTTAAATGTTCGAAAAGTTCTTGTACATTGAGACACATTTCAAGCCTTATCTTGAGGTGATTTTTTTTGCGCATTACTCCAATTTTTTAAAGGATTTCGGACATTAAGGTTCCCCTTAATAACAGGGCACATTATCTTTGCACTATAAAGTCACACACTCTTGCTACAATTGTATGATCCACGGAAGGAATCTCTGCAAGTCGTCGAGGCTTGGATGTAATAGGGCTGGAGGCGAGAATATGGAGGGTCAAGTAAGTCAATAAAGGTAACTCTTCGCCTCTCGACTCAGCTTGAACGATCGAAGAAAAACTGACAAACAAGTTCAACGGGGATACGAGAAGATCACCTTGAGGCCACATAGTTCACGAAGTCGTGCAAGTAGAAGAACGAGAGCTCTGTCATCGACGCAACGATCCGAACTTTGGAGGTGATGTGGCGGAGATGAGGAGGTGAGACGTGAAGAAGTTGGATATGCAGCAGAAGCCATCTTAGGAAGGCGGTGTAGGTTAGAATCCATCTCATCTTCGGGAAAAAGCGGGCCGAGCCACTTTCGCCGTAGCTCAAGGAACACACCCACCTTGCTTTTCTCCTCAAACCTCCTTCTTCACCATCATAACACATATTTTCGGCAACATGACGAAATGGATTCAATGCGCGCAGATTGCGCCGTACCAACTCCGTTTCTCTTTGCACTCCTTTAATCTAAAGTTTTCCACGTTTTCATCGCTTGTTTTCCGTGTTCTGTTTCGTGGGTTGACTTCTGAGGCTTCAGTGGTTTGATCTGAGCGATCATTCAAGCACCCAAACTTGCAAGTCGGCATCTCACGCGCTCGAATCCTTTTCTGATTCGCTGCAGAGACTGGACTTCCGTGATCTTTGAGAGTTGTAAAGAAGATACTTTCTCATGGCTTCGGTGCGAAGTATCGCGAAAATCCGGGATGGTTGGAGTTCATCTGAATCCCGTCGTCAAGACTCCGTTCGCATCAATTCATTGCTATTAAAGGTTGCGCCTTCCATCTGTCAAGTCATGTGCATGTTGAACTCATCAAAAGCTTGTTGCACAGCCTTCAATTCTTCCCATCACTTAGGCACGTTGTCCGGAGTCTCGAGACGTGAAATGTCGCGAGATCAAGCTTATAGTTATTTTGAGCCCATCACTCAGCCGCCCTCCCCTTTTCAGGTGACCCACCGAGGAACGAGCAAGGATCACAGTTTCTCCTGTATCATATCATATCTGATGTGACTGCGCCTCACTTGTTCACCCAATGCGTGAATATGCACAGGTGTTGTGGTGATCTAGTAATCAATTAGGGGATCTTGTGCCTGCTGTAACTTGCAGCGTTTGAGCTGCCCGAAAAGAAAAATTGACATATATTTAGCTCTTCGAAACTTGTGCTTGGTTTTTCTCTTCACCGGTCCTTCAGGCTGTCGGCCTTCATTCAAACTTAGATCATTGTCTAGTATCATTCGTTATTACTAGTCGATCTTCACTCTTTCTTCAATCTCTTGAATCTAATTTCTTGTTCTATACTTAATAATATCGCTCCTCTCCAAACAAACTCCACCATCAGCCCCACCAACTCGACCATGCGTTCTGCACTTATTCTCGTTTTGGCAGCGCTTGCCTCTTCAGTTGCAGCTCTCCCAGGAAGCTCGGATTACAGTTCATCTGGCGACAATTCCTACTCTTCCGGAGACAAATCTGGATCTTCTGAAAACTCGTCGTCAGGAGACTCACCATCATACGGAGGCAACAGCTACTCGAAGCCAAGCAACTCATACGACTCCAAGTCAAAAGACTCGTACGAGTCGAAATCGAAAGACTCCTATAAATCGAAACCATACGAAGTGAAGTCGTACACCAAGTCTGTATCTCACGAAACAAAAACACATTCGGAAGGGTACAAAGCAACCAAGACCCACGAAAACTACAGCAAGGAAACCAAAGCCTACAAAACACACAGCTACCTCGTCGGCACTCACGCTTCCTACAGCCAAGAGACGCACAGCGCTAAGTCGCACTCAACTAAGTCCAAAGACTGTAAGACGCACACTATGACATATACCCGCACTGAGAGTGCCGAGAGCGGTGGATACGTAAATTTCCTGTTCATACAGCACCATTATTCTTTACTGACTTGATATCCAGACTACCATCATCAACATCTCTTTCAGCACTGAGACATTTGGGGCAGGAACAACCCAAGTTTACACTCCTCCGGCTTCGACTCCTCTAGCAATCACTCAGACTTACTTCACCAGCACCAGCACCTCCTCTGTCAGCCAAGCGACGTCAACGCTTCTCACGCAACAAAACGCTACCACTATTGCGCCAATCACCTTCACTGGCGCAGCTACTCTGTCTGCAGGGACACAGTTGTACAGCTTGGCCGCTGCTAGTTTAGCTGCGTTGGTCATGCTGTGTCTTTGAGATTTCGTTGGACAGGGGAGATAATTGGGGGGACCGGGGGGCGTTAATGGTTGGGTCAGATTCCTCATTGGAGGATCTTTTATATACCCCTGCAACTGGTGTTTGGGAAGGGGGATTCAACAAGTGGAACTCAAGCTAAACATAGCCGGTAGATAGACCATAATTGAGAGGGTTAAGATCCAGTTACGGAGACATGTCACGTGCTGAGTCTGGGCCTTCAAAGCATTTCCTCTTTTGAGTTAAAGCAAACTTCTCCATAAAGTCATGGGATCTCTATATTCTTCTCAGTCCCTTAGTCTTTCTAATCGGGCCTAGTTTACATAAATCTATTGTCTTGCTTAATTTATGTTTATTGAAGGCTGCGATAATGTCTCCCACTTTTTGCATTCTCCTTGCTCCTTTCCTATTAAACCTTCCCGTCTACAATCCCCGGGAACCTCAACACATTCCAAAGTCCAATTCATCCGACACCTTACCGACTCGCCACAATACTTGACCAAGCCATTTAATTTCGAACTCTGGGAAATCGTACCGAGCACTGCAAGAACTTGCTCGGTCAGCCGACCACGATCATTATAGTTCTCGACTGCGCTCTTTAATTCTGAACTCTCAAGAAGAGCAGCAAGCCTCTCCATCCTTTGATCTTCATTCACCAATAAACCCAAAGCCGCTTCGCCAAGATTAACAAAGCACCCCATCCCTGCCTGAAATCCATCGAGATACCACATCACATTGCCCAAATATTCAGCGGCACCCTGTTCGCTCCACCTAGAATACCCTCTCTCCCAATCAATAGCTCCATCCTCGTTGCTCTTCTCCTAACCCCCGGCAATTTTATCAAGTTCGCCAGATCCCAAAAATGCAACTCCCAATAAGTTAAACACATTCTGTCCTTTATCATCCCAGAACCTCCCTGGAGAGTTTTGTGTGTTGGCCCAGATTAAGCCCGGGATATCCTTCGGAGTAATACCAATAATGAGGAGGCCGGTGTCGCGGAAAGCGTATCGCATAGGGAGGTAGCAAGGGCATTTCGCGGGTGAGATCATTCTGTCGAATCCTGGGTGTGTGATGATCTCTGCTACTTTGTCGGCGTCTTGGATAAAGTAATCCCGGATCTGGGTGCGAAGTTCCAAGGGGAAGGCGCGAAACGGAAGATTATAACTTCCCTCTGAAACTCTGTCCGCATTGCCGTTATATAAAGATTTTCTCTATTCGTGGAGACCCGGGCGAGGAAACTGAAATGAGACGAAGTTCAACATGTTCCGAGTGTTCAAGAACACTCTCAAGCAGAGTGCGGACATGACGCCAAGTTCGCGCCGCTACCATACGTTCTTCCCTCCTTTCCTACTCTTCAACCACCCTCTCTTTAAGTCCTCGGACATACCTCATCCACCCATCTTGCCACTTCTGCCGGTGCCCATGAATGATGGCTAGCGGCGCAACTTGCCGGTTAGGCGGTCCTATCTCCATTCTTGTCTTGCACTCCACCTTCAATCTCTCCCCGAATAACTTCCACAACCCCCTGAACTCCTCATAAACAGGAATCTGATCCGTGGATTCAGCAACCAGCACAATCTTCACGCGTTCCAGGTTCTCGAACTGCACTAGAAATGTTTCTAGTCCGGGAAGAATTGCCAGGGCGCTGCTTTCGAGGGTTGTGTTTTTGGGAAGCGGGGTGCGGGTCATAGAGGCGTAGGCAGCAAGCAGAAAGGGGCGGGGCGTTCGAGGGAGCGTGATTTCGACGCTCTTAACTACCTTCATTAAATCGGCCCTTCCTTGCAGAAGTGAGTACGCGAACTCCCACCGCGACGAAGCATCGTCATCTAACCACACTCCAACCTGTTCATCAATGGATACGTGTTCGACTCTACCGTAAAGCAATGAGGACACTTCGGCAAAGATCTGCTTGTTGGTGAAGAGGAGGGGAAGAGGCCCGATGTTGGAGAGTTTGAGATGTCCTGTTTTTGCGGTTGGAGAGTAGACGGAGGTTGTGAAGGGGGAGCTGGCGAGTGTCAAGGGGTGGAAGAGATGGTGATTTAGAGCGCGATTTATGCAGAGGGTAAAGATTTGATTGCGGAGTTCACCGGGGAGAGTTGTTAAGTATGAGGGAGGGGATTGGGTGGCTGATGAAGACATTCTGCAAGGTGTGCTTGGTCGAAGGGGGGATTTGAGAGATGATGAAAGGGATGAAATTTGTCACTTCAGGTGAGGGAAAGATGGAATGAATGGTTTTTAAAGGTTCGTGAGAACTGTCGACCGTGTTATTAGGCAGCAATGTGGTGAGGGATAGTGTGAGTATGGCTGGAAGGCAGCCTGGCACGTGGCACAACAGAGTGGCGTTTGACGCGCCAAGCCTTACAGCCCAGGACTTGTAGCTACGGAGTTGATGATAGGCTCCATGATCTCTCATCGAACCCAGATCCTTGTCTCGAGGAATGGCCCCAAATGTTCTGGGGAACACTCGTAACAAAAGCCCCGGAGTACAGGTCTGGAGCAGTATCTGCTGTCAAGCTCTATGATCTTCAGCGTGCTATATGATTTTGGGGTGGCCACTTGGCCTAACATAAACTGTGATCTGAGCCATATTCATATATCTCTCCAGGGCTCTCTTATGCATCTTCGATGGACATTAACTCCCAAATATGTACAAACTCAACCCCTCCTTCTACTTCGTCCGGATATGCTTCAACTTCTTATCACTCCACAGAAAATTATTCGCATACGCCTTCGGGATAATCTTCCTCCTGTTCGGCTCCTGCACAAAGTATTCGTATCCCTGTTTCTCTGCAAACTTGATGGCGTCCTCCTTACTCTTGAAGCTGAGATGTGTGCCTTGCATGAAATCGGCCGAGGATTGCCAGCCCATTAAAGGATTCTCCCATCGATGGCCTTTGGAGAGGATGTCCCAGTCCATGCGCCAGTGGTGGCCGTGCCAGTCGCCGGATTGAGTTGCTGTCTTTGCAGGTCGGTAGATGCTGCTTTGGTTAGATTTTGCCCTTCTTTATTAACGTAGATTCCTCATACCGGACAGTTCGAGCTTCGAGTTCAATCGGAGCACCGGACAACACAGCAGCAGGCAGGACATCCCCTTCTTCACTTCCATTCATTACTCGTTTCGGGATGGGGGAGAATGTTCTGATCCAATTAGCTTGATTCACAGCTGCCATTGAGAGCTCGGCTTACGATGACGCCTGATCAACCTCCGCCGTATAATCAGGTTGATTATGTCGCACTTGCACCTCCTTCTCCCCTCCTGTCTTCGCAATCCCCGCTCCGGACGCAGTATCAGAGGAGGTGAGTGGTGTGCCCAAAGCTGTGCTCTCGAATCGTACCGTGCCTGGGACAACTCGTCTTGTAAATGGCGCGCCTGCTCGGAGCAGTCGGCCTGCCATTGATGGTCGTAGGAGCGACATTGTGGGCTGCGCTCCTGTGGAAGTCGCTGTGAAGTGTTGTAGTCTATCGTTGTTGCGGAGCTTGAGGTTTGAAGTTATTAGTCAGCGATCTCTCTAGCGCAAAGGGAGCTTTTCCGACCTTCAACAACCTTCCGAAGACATCGGATCGCAACTTTCCCCTCACACATTCATCACGACACTCGATTGAGGTATTGAACTCCATTGATTGAGGAGGCTTCTAGTATAGAAGTAGTGGGAAGATCAATTGGTCTGACGTGAACCTGTAGTTATCAAGATGAGCTTCGTCACTCGCCGGGCGCTCTCGACCCTCATTCCACCCAAGGTATGTCCTCTTCCAGCTCCTGGAGTCACCTTGGATCTATCTGCTAACTGAATGACAGGTGGCCTCACCAACTGTAAGTTCTCAACCTCCAACAACATTCCCAATTGAAGCCCCAACGATCCTCTGCGCAAACCGCGATAGCCGAGCGACGACACATGCAGAAGAACACATCTGATGGGAAATAGGGAATCGGTGCTGCTCAAGATGCTGCCCGCATGCAACGCGTAGTCAGCTTTTACGAAAAGCTTCCTCGAGGTGCCGCACCAGCAGTCAAGCCCAAAGGTCTCCTCGGAAGATACCAAGCTCGATACTTTGGGAAGAACCCTTCTGGAGCACGTACGTTTTGCCCTTATGCAAAGTAAGAAAGGACTGGTTGCTGATTGAAGGACAGCTATCATTCATGCTATTGTGTTCCTAGTTGGCATTGGTTATGCTCAGAACTACTACTTCCATCTTCGTAAGTTTGGATGCTGGGGTTTACAGGGATGAAGCTAATATTTGTAGGCCACCACAAGAACAATGCTCATTAGATGGTCATGGGTCGGTGCTGGAACAGTAGGGAGATGAGGCTCTTATACGAAGAGGGGTGTGTAAATAAGGCATAGAAGAATACCAGTCCATTTGTCGACCGAGGTTCCTTGCAAGCTTTCATGTTGTGAGGCGTTGGGTCAGTAGACTGGAAGCTAAGCATCTGGTAAGCCCAGAAATCCCTGGCTCGAAATCGGAATTCTGGATATCACTTTGATATTTTGGACGGAACTCAAGGATGCCTATCCTTTGACCTCGGCAGTTGATTACGAAGAAATAAAACAAGATTTGAGAAGGTAACAATGGACCTATGGTACATCGTCGAAGTGACCCAGAGAGAGAAGCAGCCTGAGGATTGTGGCTGCTTATGGCATATTTCAACAACTCATCTATGTGTCAGAGACTGGATGACGACGTACTGTATGACTCGCGTAGCGTGACACAAAAACCACTTTTTCTCCCTCGAGGGAAGCAGGATGGGCAGATCTAAGCCCTCGATAGAAAGTCTCCATCCAGATTTGCTGACATGTCCTTGGCCTTGTGAATATACCCCTGTCTTTCACATCATGGGACTTAGAAACTTGTAAAAAACAGCAAGCTCCAAGTATTGTTCTGAAAATGATGATTACCTTTTATGGTAGCCTCACAATATAAAGATATCCTGACGTTTTCGGGCTTTCTCAATATTAATATGGCAAATCCAAGTGGCTGTTGATCTCCCCCTGGAAGGCACCGCCTGAGGTCGCCGGACTCGAACTAAGCCTGATTGGGCTCTGTACTCTGGTTGATGATTTTGACCTCGTCAATCAGACTCACGACCTCGAAACACCACGACATCCTTCCCCTCTCCGCCATCACAGGAGCTCCGCCATCTAGAGTCCTGTCGCGTATCCAATACAGCGACCTCTTGCTCTCTCGTCACCCTTTGATACCCCCCAAGTGCCACGTTCAAGCTCGCAGTCATCGAAGACGGGTCATCGCATGCGCAGCCCCTCGAACCACCCACAAACAACTCTGAAGACGTATGATGGCAACTGAAGCCACCTCCGAACCTATTGCGACGTTTAGTATAACACCTGATCATGAGCTGGTTCGTGCAAATGCCTCATTTGGATAGCTGAGCAACTTGCTGATTTGCGCCTAGAACCTAACTGAAATCGCGAGCCAAGATGTCCCCTCCGACGCACCTCTCGTAAACGGAAGCGCCGATAAAGATGAACTCAAGCCAGATACAGAGAATGTCGAGTCGATCGTCAACTCCGCGGAGGTCAGTGTTAGTGGAGGATCGGATACTGAGGCTTCGAAAGCGGAGACCTCGAAAACTGCAGGCGACGAGAAGGGCCATGTGCGAACTGCATCAGCCGTGAAGAAGCCTACCTCTTTCAAGCCCGTCTCAGTCAATAAGACCTTCCTGGCGGCAAAGGGTGCGACTCCTGCGGCGCCTTCGAAGCTCGGAGACAAAGCAGCCACGGCTGCGGCAACTCAGCCTGGAGCTTCAAGCACGGCAGCGAGGCCACGATTAGTTGCAAAGTCTGGAAGCGGTCTTCGCGATTCAGCTCCTCGGGCTTCAACTGCGGCGAATGGTGGAAAGCCTGGCGCGGCACCTGATGCGAATGCTGTGTGGAACAAGAACAGACGTACGTTGCATCAAACATTTGGTATAACCATGATGCTAATTCTCCCCAGCGGCCCCACCACCAGAACCCAAGCGATTCACCGATGAAGAACTGAAGCAGCGCTATGGAATTCATTTGGCTACGAGACTCCAATCCGATGATCCGGGCAAGCAGGCCAACTGGGCAGATATTGATGACGACGATGATGATTGGGCTCCAGAATCGATTGAGTGGACTGATGGAACAAAGATTACACTCCCACAGGCTGATGAGGCACCCGCGCCATCGCCTGAACCGGTTCCGGCTACACTGAAGGATGCAAAAGCTGTGGAGACCGCGAAGCCAAAATCTCCAGCACCTACACAAGCTTCAGCTTCCCCAACTGTGAAGCCTAGCGGATTTGGTGGTAGAGCCGGATTAGTCTTGAAGGGTGCGAGTGAGAAGCCAACGTTGGTTGCGAAGCCTCCAGGTCCTCCGACCCCAGTGAAATCACCATGGGCTCCTTTACCACCTGTGGATAAGGCAGCACCCATTGCAATCGATATTCCTCAGAATCAACAGCAACAAAGCCGATTCAACCAGAGAGACCCCCATGGATTTCATGGAATGCCACCACCACCGGCAAAGGAAATTGCAGCAGATGATTTCAGTCGGTCATGGAGAGAGGGGGCAAACACCAGTCGAGAGCTGTACAACTCGCAGTCTGGAAGATATGAGCCTGTTAATGACAATCGCAGAGGATCCATGCGCAATGATGCCCGTGGTCAGCAGCCTGCAGTCTTACAGAGACCTTCTCAAGGAGATGGTCCGGCGGAGCCGTCTGCAGCGTTCCAGACACATCGGGCCAGCGGTCAAGATGGAGCATATGGACGACGTCGTACTTCTTCCAATGTCAGTGGAGGGAGTGGCAATTTTGTCAGACGGATGAGCAGGGGTCGTGATATGCCACCTCCTCATGAGATGTTGAATGTACGAAGAGGATCATTGGCAGCAGTCAGTGATGCCCCTTCGTCACCACGAAATTATTCGCCTTCGGGACAAAATCTCCCAGGACAGCGAGGCTACCAAAATCAACAGTGGCAATCCCGTGCCTCACCTGTCATTAGCCACCCTTCACCACAGTCCATGCACGGACAGATGGTGCCACCGGCATCAGCGTCTACGGACAATCAAAGCCAGCCCACTAGCACGGTTTACGAAGATCCTCTCGAGGTGCAGAAGAAAATCATGCGACAAACCCGTGAACTTGCCATTAAGCGAAGACAAGAAGAAGAGGCAAAGGAGGAAGCCGCGAGAAAGGAACGAATCCGCATCAAGCTTGAAGCCATGGGTCCCCCGCCAGAGACCAAGAAGAAGTCATCTCCTCAAGAAGCCAACGTCGCCCCAACACAGATCCAGACTCGAGAGGCAACCGGTGCTGCACCGACGCAAACTGAGGCGGTGGTGCCTGAAGGTGGTGCTGCTTCAAAGGTGACACCGGACGCAACCAGCCAGCCCAAGGTGCCGAATTCACTTGATGGAAAGATCAATGACAAGGCTTCCACAAGCGAAGAAAATCGCACAAACGGAATTCATCAAAATAAGTCGCCATCTACAATTCCTCCGACTTCGCAAGACAGCCGCTCTCTCCAAGACAACCGATCCTCTCACGAAAACAACCGTCCTTCGCAAACATGGCAGACTGAGGCACCTTCCACATCGGACAGATTCAAGCCCTGGGCTCCAGCTCCTTCCCATCAAACCTCCAAAAACGTTTGGGGTCCACCTACGAACGACAGAACTCTTGGCAACGGCACCTTCAACCCGGAGTTGAGCAGAGTGCCCGATATGCATCAATCAATGCGTCCAAACCCCATCGGGCCACCGAATTCGAACCGCAATGGCCAATTCCAGCAAGGACGGAGTGGTGAACCTTATGGCTCGCGACCTGCGCCGATCGGTCCCCCGAACAGACAACCGGCCATCTCGAACCAACAAGCTGCAAATCAAGCGGCAGTTGCCAAGTCCGGCTGGGGTAGTCTTCCGGAGAGATTGGCCGAAGAGGATGCGGCACTCCATCGCCAGCAAGAGCTCGAGGATGCCAGGAAGCGCGAACTGGAAGCACAAGGTGTTGCTCCCGAGATTCGAGGCCCAGTCATCAAGGATACTTGGCGCCAGGTGACGATCAACGAGGACGGTACACGAAGCAAGGTTCAAGCCAGCCATACTGCCGTCCATGGCAAGAACCAGGAAGAAGCAACGACTCGAGGCATGTTTGAGGAACAAAACACTGTACCCCGTCATCATTTGGACTCTGTTGGTAACCAGCAACCATTCAATGATGGTTGGAGATCAGCTTCTAACATCAACGCACCTCCCCCTGCTCGAGGCTCGCGATTCTTCCCAAACAGAGATGTTCGATTGGAGGAGCAATCTTTCGATAGACCAGGATCTCCATCCCCACCCCCGCCTACCATGGATGGCCACCCTGCCTACGATGGTGATAGCGCACACCCTCATGTCTCCCTTCCTCGTCCTGCGCCTGTCGTCAAGCTGCCACCACCTACCGTTCTAGCCCCAATTGGTCCCCCGAAGCCAGCATCATTCGCGGCAGCAGTCCATAGCCCTTCCGTTCAGCCAACTGCTAATCACAATACTGGTTATGGAGGGCATCAGAACTACACCCATCAATACCAAGATGCTCGCCGTCAAGAGCCGGCTCCTGCAAATTGGCAGGATAGGATCAACTCGTTGATTGGTCGCAAGAACTCCCCACCGAAGTCGCATGCTTTCGCAGTAGACTCTTCTAGCAAGAATGCCCTTGAGCTTCCCAACCAACAATACTCCGCAACCGTATCATTGCCATCTCGTGGCTCGGACGCAACTGATGATGGAACAGTTGAGTCGAAGCCAGCTGCTGAGGAATGCTTCGAGGAGCAGGAGATGGGTTCCTTGCCAGTCATCAAGGTTCCACACACAGCACCTGCATCGGCTTGGCAATTGGCCCCTCCTCCAAAACCTATGCCGCGAAAGTTTGTCATCTCCGAGGTCACCAGCATTGAGCCGTTGCAATTCCCGCAGCAGATCTCAAACAATAGCACTTCTCTTCACATCAAGATCCCTGGTCATGACTACACGACTACCGTTACCATGGCTGTTGCTCGCCAGAGAAGCAACCCCCGAAACCGAGGTGGTTCCCGAGGTACAACACCACGACATGCTTCATCTTCTCATCCTAGGGGTGGCAGAGGTAGAGATGCATCGAGCGGCTTCGCGTCTCCGAGTCTCGAGACTGTTTCCGTTTCCTCCAGTCCAAATTCCTCAGGACGTGGTAATCGGGGCGGCAGAGGAGGATATGGATCTAACTGGAACAACCGCCACGTTTCTACACCCGTCCACACTTAATTCGACACGCATTGGCGGAAGATATATGAAAGGCACGGCCCTTTCTATTCGAGGAGGCGATATCGACCTTCTCGTGTAATGGATCATTTTCCTTTCTCATGCACCCCACTTTTCACACTACACTTGTAACTGAACCTCATGAGCGGTGTTTATCTCGTCGGCAGCTGCTGCATTTTCAAGCAGCTTGCACTGCGCGGTGTCATAGCAATGCTTCAATTATTCGAGGCTTGCATAGTTGACAGGAGCGCACTATTAGTGCATAGCAGACGAGGACTAAACAAAACGTACGGATTGATATTCTGGATCGCAAGCTGCACATCCTTCAAAGGATTCAGCAGAGTTGAGATCTGGTAATTCATTGCAGATTTTGCGTGATGGCTGTACGCTTTGAGGCCCAGATGGCGGAGATCGAGAGAGAATACAGCGCAGTAGCTACCGAATAAAGACTTCAAAAACCATCTCTGAATCCATTTGCCTGTGGACGTGATCCCTGAAATGTACGAAGATTGCGGCATAAAGTGACGGGATTACAGGTGCATGCATAAATATAGGGCCACTAATAGAGCCTGTAGTGTCTCACCGAGCCCTGTAAGCCCTATAATTAGTCTGAATCAGAGGCGTAAGGCCCCTGAAGCCCACTGAAACCATATGTAGCCCGATTAGGAGGCTACATTAAGCCACAGGCTTTCTATAGGCCCTTAGCCCCTGTGTTTTTAGGCCTGCGTCCGCAATCGGTAGCGGGGTAAAGTAAGCTTTACCCCCCCTTCTCACCCCCCCAGGGCTCCCCACCACTCACTCTCTTCTTTACTCTCACTTCCTATGTAAAAGCTAGTACTTATGGCTACTTTTGGTGGTTTATTTGACTTTCCAGACTTATCAGATGGCCAATCAGAGCTTTCCTCCCCTCCTGATTCTGACGAATCAGAATGTAGCGAAGCTACAGAAGATGAAGAGGATGCTTGGTATAACTTACCTTCAGATTCAGAAGATGAAGACGATGACTCAATTGCACCAAGTTTTACGCTCCCGCTTCGTCCTCCTCCTAGTACTTCTACAGCCTTTATTATACCTGAGATCACACGTAAAGAGTACTCAACTGGTGCGAGAATCAAGGCTATTTATATGCTTGAGCAAAGGAGATCTGCAGGCGATATCAAGAAAGCTACAGGAGTGTCCAGAACCCGTGTTTATGAGCTTGCAAGCCTTGCTAGGCAACGTGGATGGAGAGAGAACGAGGATATGCCCTTGGAAGTGTGTCATGTTCTCAATTAACCCCGATCTGGCCGGCCAGTAATCTCACCCACTGCAATCAAGTGTGTCTTGCAAGTTGTACTTCAAAATTCGACCATACGAGGCTTTTCTTGTGCTACAATTGCAAAGGAAGTCAGAAAGAGGGGTCACGAGGTAGCTGTACGGACAGTTTGGAAAGTCCTTACTGCAGCTGGCTATTCTCAGTGCAAACTGACAGTAAAGCCTGGCTTGAATGGATTCAGTAAAAAGGAGCGGCTAGATTGGTGTTTGGCATACGAGAATTGGGAACTTGAAGACTGGAAAAACGTGATTTTTTCAGACGAGACAGCGGTTCAATTAGGGGGTACAAGAGGAAAAAGAAGGGTATGGAGGCTTCCAGGGGAAGCATATAACAAGCATTGTATCAGAAGACGCTGGAAGGGCTTCTCTGAGTTTATGTTTTGGGGATGTTTCTCGTATGATAAAAGGGGGCCATGCCATATATGGGAAAAGGAAACAGCACAGCAAAAAAAAGACAGAAAGGCCGATTTGGATACAAGGAACTCCTTAATTGAGAAGGCAAATAAACAAAAATGGGAGAAATAGCAAAGGAAGTGGCTAAGGGAATGGACAAAAGCATACGGAAGAAAGCCTGGTGGAGTAAGAAAAGTATGGAAATACAATGAGGAAACTGGAGCTTTTGTGGTGAAGAATGGACGTGGAGGAATCAATTGGTATCGCTACCAAAAGGAGATCTTGATCGCAAAGCTCTTACCCTTCGCAAAGGAATGCCAAAAGAACCGTCCCAAAACGATCGTTCAGGAGGACAATGCTCCAGCTCACAAATCTCATTATTAACAGGAGGTTTACAATCTCTGGAAGATTATGAAAATGCTATGGCCAAGCAACTCACCTGACTTGAATGCTATTGAGCGTTTATGGTACCATATGAAGAGGGAAACCACAAAGCGAGGGCCTACTAGTAATGGTAAGAAGCTCAGAGCAAGGTGGGAGAAATGTTGGGAGGGTATTCCGCAAGCGAAAATTCAAGAGTGGATTGAGGCAATTCCACATCACGTGAAGGAGATAATTAGATTAGAAGGTGGAAATGAGTATAAGGAAGGACGAAAAAAGGGACAGGAGAAAGTAGTAGTTTATAGCTAGAGTATATCTTCATTTATTACCAATTTGGTCAGCTGATTTAGCCCCCTGGAACATTCATTAATTAAGCGAAATACCCTTCAGGGGGCAAGTAAGACCTTACAGGGCTATTTAGTGGACTGCATATAATTATGCCCTGTAATCCCGTCACTTTATGCCGCAATCTTCGTAGATAATAAAGAAACGGTACGCACAGCATCGAATTGTTGTCGATCTCGGCACCTGACCGAACTGATCAGCACAAAAACTTCTCTCCGCCAATTAAACCCGCTCCTTCCCGCTTTCTTCCAACTTCAATGTTTGCCTCCAGATCACGAATATCCTCACTCCTCCAAATCAAGAGTTTCTCTTTCTCCTTCTCCTCCAGTTTCCATTCTAGAATCGTAGCAATGTCATCAAAAAAGCAGATTAACTTACTGAGAGGCTGGCCAAACCCCTCCCTTCTCCCCACACCCCTCATCTCCGCTGCATCAACTACAGCGCTCTCGAACCCAGACATCTCCATCCCTGGCCTGCTCTATGGCCCAGATTCAGGGTATCAGCCGCTCAGAGAAGAGATCTCTCGCTGGATGACGCGCTTTTACGTCTCTACCCCTCGACGTCCGCCAACGATCCCGTATCCTGAGGGATGGAACACGTTTGTGGGAGAAGAGGAGAGGAATGCGGACAGGATATGCATCACAGGCGGCGCGTCGCAGAGTCTGGCTTGTGTGCTGCAGGTTTTCAGTGATCCGGTGAAGACGAGGGTGTGGATGGTTGCTCCTTGTTACTTTCTTGCGTGTCGGATTTTTGGGGATAGCGGGTTGGAGATTAGGGCTGTTGGGGAGGGGAGCGAAGGCGTGGATTTGGGGGCGTTGGAGAGAGGGTTGAGGCAAAGTGGGGAGGAAGGGGAGAAGAAGGTGAGGGGATTGTTTCTTTTTCGGTTCTTGATGAGAGGTTGGAGGAGATACTGTAAAAATCCACGTGACGGATATGGTCTGCAGCTGGGAAAATGCAGAGCAAAGGCTGGCAGCTTTCATGGTTTCTTTTATTATCCTTTGGGGGTGTTTTGAGAGGTTGCTAACATGAACCAGCCCCTCAAACAACCAAGACCATGGTCAAAAATCTACCGGAATATCATTTACTGCGTTCCCACATTCTCAAATCCATCAGGGAAGACGATGTCTCCCTTCTGTCGGCAGAACCTCGTTCAGCTTGCTCGAAAATACGATGCCTTGATCATCACAGATGATGTCTACGATTTTCTTCAATGGCCTACCTCTTCCGCTTCTTCGACGACATCACTATCGAAAGCAATAATACCTCGCCTGGTTGATGTCGATCGAACACTGGAACCAGTGCCAGGACCCGACAGCTTCGGCAACGCCATGTCCAACGGCTCGTTCTCCAAGATCGTTGGCCCCGGTGTGAGAACCGGCTGGGCGGAAGCTACTCCAAAATTGATATATGGGTTGTCGCAGTGTGGATCCTCGAGATCCGGGGGAGCGCCGAGTCAGCTTGTTGCTACGATGATGGCCGAGTTACTGAGGAGTGGTGAGTTGGAGAGGCATATAAAGGAGGTACTAAACCCTGCTTATGAGAAAAGGTATGGGATTATGACACGAGCTATCCGGCAACACCTGGTGCCGCTAGAAATCAAGCAGGGGGAAGTCACTGCTGATGGGAAAGATATCTTTGGGGGCTATTTTCTTTGGCTGGAATTGCCCAGGGATGTCAGCGCTAAGGTCGTGGCGGATAGAGCCAAGGTGGAGGAGAATCTGATTGTGGCTCCGGGATATATTTTCGAGGTTGAGAATGATCCGAGTATCAAGTTTCAGAATTCTATCAGGTTGTGCTTTTCTTGGGAAGAGGAGGCAGATTTGGAAGATGGTATTGAGAGGTTGGCGAGAGTGGTGAGGAATGTGAGGGATGGTATGCCCCCTGAGATGAAAGGGGAGGGATTGGGAGAGAATGGGACCAAGGGGGAAATAGGAGAGTTTCAATGAGCAGGCCTGGAACTCATCGTATGAGTATTGGCGGTAGTTAAAAATAGGAATTGCATCAGTAGAATTTGAGGAATAACTTGGGCGTTAATCCTTTGCTAAGAGGAGAGAGAAGCCGCGATTAGGCGAGCAGATCAAGAGTAATTACTTCTTTGTAAAGCGGTACACGTATCCTTTAGACACATAATCTCCTCCACGGCTTATCCCTACAACAGTTTGTCCTCGCCCCTAATTCCTAGAGATATAGTCTGTGTATATAAGCTAAAAATAGACCTCGGTGGAGAGAGTAAGAGTTCCTAAGCCCTCTATGCAAAGATGGTAGAAGTTTTTTGCTCAAGTAAGGTATATTTCCTTATAAATCTATGTTTTTAAGCACCTTTAAAAGGGAACTATTAAGGGAAGGGAAGCGTGCCTTATCTCAATTCAATTCAATTCAATTCAATTTAGCTCAACTCCACTCGATTCAGCTCAGCTCAGCTCAGCTCAGCTTAGCCTAGTAGAGCGCCTTTAAAGACAATGAGGCTCTCCGGTGGCCACCTCCAAAAGATAAATACATCAAAAAGCGGTTAGTACGTGTATCACTCCACAGCTCTCCTAGGCAGCCCACGCCTGGTTCCACTTTCGCGGCCTCGGACCGGGCGAATGACTTTGACTCTGGTTATCGAGTGCGGTGCGTCCGTCGTGCGTTGATGGCGTTGCTCAGCCGCAGCTGAAGACGCTGAAATCTTGACATGGACTGACTGAGAATATTGCATGCTGTCCACGTGTCATGGATGGGGAGGTCCGGTCGGCATTCGCTGCTTGTTTTTAGGCGGCAGTGACGGCGTGGAAGGCTGGCAATTCTGGTCCTATCGCAAATCCCTCCACCACCACCTCCACCATCGTGGCTGCTGACAAAACCGAGATAAGGCAAGTATTGGACCATTCACAGTACAATCCCCTTCGGCGCGATTGCCCAACAGGAATGCCGGGACTCGGTGAGGAAGTAAGGCCTGCAGAGCATACAAGGATATTGTCAGGAGATTTAACATTTCCGCTTTGTGATGCGTCTCTATTTGAACACAAGTCTTGGCTCGATTTGCGGCTCTACCAGGAAGGATTGATGACAGAGTTCTTTCACCATGAGCAACCCGCCTACTCAATGCTATCTCGGCACAGCCTACACAGCTTACAACTCGACCACTGCTTGTCTCGCCGAATGCTTGCAGCCGAAGCAATTTTTTTCATCCGACGATGCGATATCCCAATGTTTCAACCTGGCAGCATATGGAAATGCCTTCAACACTGGTGGTCCCTGCAACGAAAGTGCAGCCAGCCCATTGGTCCATCTTTTCGACACATGCATGCAGGATTACTGTCAACACGAGGACCAAGAACTCGGTGGTTGCAACTACACCGGCATCTCTACTAGCATCTGCAGAGATGATGATATATGGCACACCCTATGCAACAAAGTCAGTGCAAGCGTAAATGCGGACATTGGTGGAATTGGAGTGAGCTCTCTTCTCATAACAGGTCCGTAGAGGACGTGCACACAGTCTAATTCACCATGTTTAGGTCGTTATATCTTACATAATGCAAATTCTCATGGCCCTCGTAGCCTGGATTATCCTCTCCCTTAAAGGATCCTGGTTCACCTCTATCTATCGAAAATGGTCGAGAGCTGGGGATACGCGGCATGAAAAACGCTCTACCAAATGTCATTCTGACCAAGCCGCTGTTTTAAAGTCCATGCTCGTCGAATTCCAAGAAGCGCAGTGTTTCTTTATGCTGGCTACTCAGATTGCCGTATTAATTTCCTTTGGAAATCAGGCTAAGTTCTATGGACCTAAGGACGAAGCTCAACTAGATATGGATAACTACCTTGGACAAATTATTGGCACCGGGGGATTATTACCAATCAGCCTTGTCTTATTCACACTCAATAATATTGGTATGATTTCTTGGTATATCCTTGTCCTGTCCGGAATCACCTTGGCAACGTCATCAGCCACAGTTATTATTTCGACCAAGAATGAGGACAACGGCTATACTCCGTCTAGTCTTGCGGGCTTTTACGATACGGCGTCTATTGATAGTTGTGGTGGCTACCCTCCGCCAATTGTGTTCTGCGATGAGGTCTGGTACAAGAGCACTATCAGCCAATACTTCGACCAGAAGGTCTTGAGCTGGACTTATATTTTCCCTCTTGTGGTCTTCTCGGTAATTCTATCCCAACTCTTATTGACTTTACCTCGGCTCTCTCGTTTTGTAAAAGGAATGCTACCTCAGCTTTCTCGTCTCGAAGGTTCGAAACTCGTTACATATCTGAACGTCCTTTGGATCGTAGCAATCTCTATCCTTTATTTGTTTGCCATATATTCGTATCTTGCCAATCTTTACTACCTCAACAAATTCGGGGCTATTGATACAAGCAACTGGACGCTTGGTCAGATCGTTGCTGTAACAATATGGGCACCTGTTCTATTGAAGTATATCTATAGCGCCTGCTGTAAGTTCATCCCTTCTGCCGTCTTCCATATTCCGCTCCTTTACCCCACTAAATTCCTAGTATGTATCAGTATCTCTTATTAGAATTATGGCAAATCCTTAATTTGATTGCTAACGACGCTCCTGTGCAGTCGGGATCGAGGCACATTCAAGAGTTCGTTTCGCGAAGCCATACGAGCTCACCAAATCCAACCATTCCAATCCTCAGATTGACACTGAGAGAGGAGCCCTTCCCGAGAGGGAAATCGGGAGCAATGGCAATAATCCCCACGAGGAAACCACCCAACATGGGTATTCTAAGATCGGAGGAGCTCAACTCATCGAAACAGAGGCGGAAGTTTAGTAGCAAATTAAGTAGGATGTTGGACTTTTATCACTCATTGGGGGGACATTTTTGAGGTCTGTTCAGTCTTAGGATGGTTGTGTGAGACATTTGGCAAGGTTGTTCAAATGCTGGCTATTGCGCCACTCCTTACCCATTTTCATTACAGCAGCCTGGCTTTCCTCTTTCCGTTACGATATATATAGGCTCTGATAGCCAAAGCAAGAAACTTCAAGGCAACAGTCGCTTTACGACATCCAGTTTTCTTCTTTTAGTATTGGTTCGATTAATATATTTGACGATAACTTGTGAAAGTAATCTTGAGACCGTCGCTAGTGCCAAATTTGTCGACTTAATTGGATTCTGATTGGGGTCCCTGCTCGATTCTTATAATTAGAATGGCATAGAGGAGTCAAACCGGACCCCCTGAATCAAGGCGGCCCTTTCATCTGGGGATCGCCCGGACGATTGGCACCATCACGGTTGGACATGCTCAAATGACTAATGCACCGTTTTCTGGTTTGTTGTGATGTGTGCAGGGTCGCACGTGACTTAAGGGCATGTGACGAACCTCGGATGTCGCGGGTGTCGATCAGGGAGATCGGAGGCCCTTCGACTTCACAACCAACCACTGTTTATATTATAAGTATTAGGCTTATAAATCACTAATTATTTATATGTTATTAGGGCCTCCTATTTAGAGGGGGCTTCCTTGGACCTTATAGGAGGGACAGAGATTAGTTCTATACTGAATTTAATACTGTGGTTTCATAACTCACTAATTTATTCTATTATCTTATTGCCTACTAATAAACACCTTATAAGCTAATCTCTTAACCCTCAAAGGAGATAGTTTAATAAGTAATTATATCTTGAAATCTGCGAAATATATAATCTCTTGCCGGAGCTATTTCTATAGAGGAAGTTAACCAGATTAACCCTAATACGGGTAATAGCAAAGGCTCGTCTAATACTTTTAACGGGGCCCCTCAGGAGCCTCCGAGAGCCAGTAATAATAACAGAAATAATCCCGGTAATAATTAAGATACCGAGATTAATACCCAAGTTACTACCGCCCAAGCTATAGAATAGAGCTTATATACTAAAGTCAAAGTGCTTTAATAAAAGCAAGAATTAGTAGATATAATTAACTAATATATTCTATAGTTAGAGTAATATAAGAGTACCCTCAGGGATACCTTGCGGTTTACTATATTTTATAGAAATTCTATTTATAAGTTTATTCTATTTTCCTTAGTAATTCCTATTAGGGAACTTCCTGAAATAGAATTAGAACCTACTTCTTTTCCTAATATAATAAGCTTTGAGAGTAATCTTAATACTATTTATTAGAAGCTACTATATAATATCCTAAAGATATATTTAGACTAAGAGAAGCTTTTTAAGGTCCGGATGCCTGACTTATATTATAGAAAGTTCCTTAAGAAATAAAGAATATTTATATCTTTCTAGGAAGTAATCTTTAGAACCTAATCTTAGACTTATAATAAATACTTTTCTAAAGTTAATTTTATTATAAGTACTTTTAGGAACGAATCTTATAATACTTAAGAAACTATAATAAAGCAAAGCCTATTATTATATAAGGTTTATTAAAAGTAATTTAAGGCCTATTTAGCTAATATACTCTAAGTACCTTAAACCTATTAATAAGATATCTTTAAAAAGTACCGAGATCTTTATTAGAAAGATAGTAAAATAATTACCGAGTTATATACTTAAATAATTAGTCTCGAAGTTAACTAGAACTTATATCCTAAAAGAGACCGGATCCGGACTTTTAATATTACTTTATCTAACTATAAGACTTATTAGATACTTATATCTATTTTCTTAGGAAATAAGATAATATCTATTTCCGAATAACTTAAGAAAGCTTAGAAAGTAGAATATATTACTTATCCCAAATTAAGGAAAGTAAAGATAGGAAAGTCTAGTAAGAATAATTCTATTTCTAAGAACTCTAACTTAGTAAATTCTGATTTATAAGGCTATTAAAAAAGGAAAAATAAGTTCCGAAAATTATATAAGAAATCCTGAGGTAATACTTTGGCTTCTTTAAAGCCTTAAAAAAGTACTAGTTCTACTTTAGATATAGTTTATTAGACTTATAAATAAAAAGAATATTTTTTAGGAAATATAAAGTATTTTAAGTATACTAAATAGACTTGGTAAAACTCTAATAAAGCCAAAACTATAAAAGAGTTAAGGCATTTATAGAAGCAGGTTAATACTATTACTATAGAAAAGTATTTTAAAGAAAATTCTCCTAAGAAATAGGAAAAAAAGAAGGCCAAATCTTAAATATTAATAATTTTAGCTATAATAAAAAAGATATATTACTTTATATAACTATTTAAGTAAGATTAATATAGCCAGAAATAGGTGCCTTAGAAATATATAATAAACTTAATAATATTAGGTTAGACTATAACTTTCTTAATAATAATTGGGCTTAAAGCCGGGGCTTTATTATCTTAGCTAAATATAACCAAGAATTTATAACTTTTTATAGAAATAGATTTAAGGTCTATTAAGCTTATAATCTTGAGATATTTATTATAAATAATTATAGTAAAATATATTCTTTTAAGCTCTAGTTCTATAAGTATAAGAATATTAGCTCTTATAGCCTTGTTTTTAATATAGAATTTTATAAAGTAATTCTTATATAATATATAAATTATATTAAGAAATAATAGATATATATATTTATATAGCCTAATAATATTAAGATCCTAATACTAAAAGAATTTAGTAAAGAGCTTAACTAATATCCTAAGCTAGTACCTCAAGTCTTATTTTTAACTAAAGGCAAATATAATTATTCTAGATAATAGGCTTTATATATTTATAATAGTTACTAGGTTTTTATTTTATTATATAGTTCTAGTAATACTAAACAGGAATTTTTAATATAATAAATTAATATTTTCCGGAAAGAGATCTTAGAAATACTTATTTATTTCCGGAATAATAAATATAAAGATTTCTTAGAGGATTTTAATCTTAATAAAGCTTTAGAACTTCCTAATCTTAATAATATTAAATATTTTATTAATATAGATAATATAGTCTTATATAGGCCTTTATATAATCTATTAAAGACCTAACTAGAAATATTATATCTATATTTATAGGATATACTTTATAAATATTAGATAAAGCCTAGTAAAAGCCTAATAGAGGCACTTATTCTTTTTATTTCTAAGAAAAATAGAGAATTATATCTTTATATTAATTATTATAAACTTAATTAAATTATAATTAAGAATTAGTATTTACTTTCTCTTATTAATAAGACTCTTAATTAGTTTTAAGAAGCCAAGATCTTTATAAAGCTAAATCTTAAGAATATATATTATTAAATAAGAATATATAAAGAATATAAATAGAAAATGGCTTTTAGGACTTATTATAGCTATTTTAAATATCTTATAATATCTTTTAGGCTAGCTAATATACTAGCTATATTTTAAATATATATTAATACTATATTTATAGGACTTTTAGATTATTTCGTAATTATTTATTTAAATAATATTCTTATTTATTCCCGAAATAAAGATAAATACTATAATTACATTTACTAAATATTTACTAGGCTATATAAAAATAACCTGTTTTATAAACTTAGTAAATACGAGTTTAATATTAAAGAAATTAAATTCTTGGACTTCCTTATTAGAATAAAAAATATTTATATAAATCCTAAATAGGTTTATAGTATTATTAAATAGCTAGAACCAGAATTATTCTATAATATCTAAATATTTTTTAGATTTACTAATTTCTATTATAGGTTTATTTACTATTACTTTTAGGTAATTATAGATTTAATAAATCTCTTAAAAGAAATAGAAAAGAGCCGGAAATCTGGTTTCTTTATATAAATAAATAAAGCGGCTAAAAGCTTTTATTATAATACCTATCCTAGTTTATTTTGACTTTTCTAAGAAGATTTATATTAAAACTAATATATTAAAATTCGTAATTACTAATACTATTTTATAATAAGTTAATCCTAGTAATAACCCGAAAAAATACTAGTATCTAGTAATATTCTAGTTTCGGAAACTTTCCGGAGCTAAATATAACTATAGTACCTATAATAGAAAGCTATTTATAATTATTAAAGTCTTTAAATATTAATATTATTACCTTAAAAAGTTCAGATTTATAATTAAGGTTATTATAAACTATAATAACCTCTAATACTTTATAGAAATAAAGTATTTAGAAAGCTATTAAATATATTAGATAATATATCTTATAATATATGATTTTAATATTATTTATTATAAAAATACCTCAAACCTAGTAAATAGATCTAATAAAAGACCTAATTATAAAAAAGGTCCTATTAATATAACTTGGCTTCTGACTTTTTAGAATAAGCTAAAGAGAGCTTTTATAATTATAATTTAGAGGCCCTTATAAATATCTAAAAAGTTTCTTTTTTAGAATAAGTATTATTTAATACTTATTATATCTATAATAGCTAAGAAGAAATATTTATTATAAGATAAGTAAATAGATTATTTTATAGATCTCTTAACTATAGAATTAGTTAAGAAGTAAGATATAAGGAAATGCCTTAAAGGCTTTACTATTATAGCTAAGATAATAAAAATATTTATAATTATATTACTTAATAAAACTAAAGATTTCTTAGTTTCCCGAATTTTTAAATTAGATAATTATAAATACCTAATTTCTCGTATATAGATATATATGGCTACTAAAAGAGCTATAATACTAGCCTCTTTATTTGAATTTCTTCTAGATATTATCTAGGTAACTTAGAGAAATAATTCTTAATATTAGAATATTATAAAATAGAAGCTTAGTAAGAAAGATATTAAGGGAAAAGAAATCTAGAAAAATAATTCGGGCTTATTTAGGTATTATTTAAGAATTATTATATCTAATAATTTTACTTTATATTAAGAAGTTATAAAGCTTTATTATAATAACCTAATAGCTAGATACTATAAAATAAAGAAAACTCTCGAGCTTTTTAGAAAGTTCTAATATTAAAAGAATATAAAAAAAGATATTTATAATTATTATTAAGAATATAATATTTACTAGAGAATTAAAATAAAGAGATATCTGCTATATAATTTGCTTAGTAATTTATTATAGCCTAAGAAACTCTAGAATAAGATCTCTATAGATTTTATTATAGGTCTATTACTATATAAAAACCAAGTAAAAGGTCCCGATTTTAATATAATTCTTATAATTATTAACTAGTATTCTAAAATAGTAAGATATATTAT